CTTCAGCCTCAATAATAATAATATCAAATTTTGCGTCATAATAGTTAAATTTTTTTAGAAGGCAGCAATAAGCACGTTAAGGATATAATGCATGAATTTTTGGTGTAAAATTACAATAGGTTTCAATTTTAATTCATTAAAAATATTCTACTGGCGGCAGATGGAGTCTTTTTGATCTTTAGCAAAATTTTTGCCATTTTGTCCAACGACGATTCCTTTCTTTTCAATAATTGAATGTAAGCAATGTAAAGAATTTGGACAAATAAACAACAATAATAACAATAATTAGCTTTATAACAAAAAACAATTTTATCACAATGCATGAATTTTTAATTTTTTGAGTAAAATTGTATTGTTCAAATTTTATTCATTTTAAAAGTTATCCTAAATTGACTGGATAATATGTAAAAAAAATCAGAAATTTTAAATACAATGTTTGAAGTTTGTTAAGGTAAAATTGCGTCGTAGACGGAACTTCAATATTTGCGTTGATCTTGTTGGAAGAGTGGAAACCGCAAAAAGTATAAAATGTACAAAGATTTAGAGTCTTATTCACAATCCCAAAAATTAAAATGACGTAATTATGGAAACGAGAGTTCTGAGTGAGCACGTTTTTATTTGACAGTAAGAACATGTTGATTTATCTCGTTGAAAATAACTGAATATTTTAGCTGTATTTTATTCCGTTGATTGGTCTTTTTGTTCAGCCAAAGGTATGCAACTTGCCGTGTCGCCCATCTCACGAGTTATCGACTTTCTTCGTCTTTCGTAATCACATTTTTATCCAACGCGCGACAAATTAACGGATAAAGGCGTTTCTGCGGTGCATTCCAGCAGCATTGGAATCGACCACGTTCCTCTCACGGACGAAAGTAAAAGCCTGCTTTTGCTTTCCGCAGTGTCATGCACACGAGAGAGAAAAGCTGCTAATGAGACGCGAGAAGGTGAATTGTAATAAAATTCAATTCAACACACCCAACAAATGCATCTCGTTCAATAATCTTAGCATCGGCCTTTCTACAGAATGCCCAACTGAAAATCACTTTTTTATAAAATTGTAGAACTTTCGCACGTATATTAATAAAAATTCTCTCTGCGCCCATATTTCCTTTTTTGCGCATTTTGGGTGCAGCTTAAGTGCTGGAAAATCGACCCACGCCTTGATCTTGGCTTTCTTAAAACAATGGACCGCCTCCTTCTGTCACCTCGTGAATCACGAAAGGCGTAATTATTTTGTTTACCGACAAATATAAAAGTATAAAAACAGGAAGCACGCGTCAATGTGGGAGAAATTCGCGGATATATTGATCAATTATGCACTTTCAAAAAATTCATATATCCAAAAAGTCGGCTCACTTCCTCTTGCCAAATGCGGCGGTTTCCTGCTTCTCTCGACAGGCTAATGAGGCGCGCGCCTTCTGCGGTTTTCGCACTCAACCATTAAAAAAAAAGAATAATCTCGGAACTTGTGGATGGAGATTATTATTTTATTGTATAAAAACGAAACTTTCCATCCTGTGCCTTTTGAGGACGAACTTTTTCTAATCCTATAAACCGCAGCTGGATTATTGGCATTGGAATATATTTGGTTAATTTAATATTTATTTTCTTTCGTCTATAAGTGAAATATTGTGAATTAAATTATTATTTGTTGTTTATTTTCCCAAATTGTTACCAAAGAAAAAGAATGGAGTTATTAAACAATTAAAGCTATTTAAACGGGACATAATTTAACTGGATTAATAATTTTCACCAAAATTAACAATAAATGAACATAAACTAAATGTAAAGAAGAATTTGTTGCAGGATTTCTCTCCCAAAGCATAAAAATTGGCTACGCATTAAATAAGATATTTTAAAACTTTTCTAAAAATTATTCATTTAATTAAATGAAAGATAATTGAAAAAGCATAAATTGTTTAATAATTACCTCAATTTTTATCATTTTAAATGCTCGCCAATGTATTGAATTGCTTGGAAATAGTAAAGAAATTTGCTTAAAATTGAAAGATTAAAATTACCCCATCCGCCGCAGTGATTGTTCTTTATTATTAAAAACTTAAATTAATATTTCGTAATGAGATGAACGTTTGCAAATATTTTAATTGAAATAATTTTAGATTGGAATGGAAGCTAAATTTACAAAATTAATGAACACATTTTTAATTGATTCAAATTTAAAATTTAAAACTGCCAGAAATTAATTGCTTGGACGATTAATTTGGTTCGCAGACGGTTCCTTTTTGCTATTGTGTGCGTGCGAATGTCATGAGTGAGTCACGCCGATTGTTCTCGTCAGTGCGCCTCGAGTTATTGGCGAAGACGTTTGCTCGTCTTCTCGACATTGTGTTTAGCAGAGGCGATGAACACCTCCGCAGGCGCGTCAGTGAAACGAAAAAACAGTAATTGGCAATCTACCATATTAGGAGCGGTCGAAAGCGAAGGAAATAAAAATGAAAGAAGAAAAAACACTTGCGGGGTCACTGATCGCAGCGTGCAGTCGAAAATAATTGTTAAATTGCTTTTGATTTATCGGATAATTTCAATAATAATAAATCAGACGGGAAAGTAAAAGCAGAAGGTGGTGTTTGGAATTTCACAGGCCAAAAATAAATTATAGGATAGATTGAGGCCAAAATGGGCCAAAAGAATCGTAAATAGTAATAAGCATCAAAGAAAGAATTGAAAAAAATGGTTAAAATTGAAAGGAATCAAGAGCAAAAACTTAATGGTTAATTTTCTAAGGTTTTTTGTAATATTTTAAAGAAGTGCTTTTGCAAAAATACGGCCTGATTAATTTTGATTTCAATTTTTTCTACATAAGCATTAATTAGAAAATTGGAATAACTGAAGTTTTAAAATTTAAAATTGTTTTTTCTTAAGGGAATTTTCTAAAATAATTTAGTTTTCAAAATTGGCTCGACCAAAATTGATAATAATTTCACCAAATCACGTTCAATATCACCCCAATTAAGATGAAAAAATTAAATCGATAGGTCAGTTGACATCACAAATTTACATTGATCTTATGGGAAAATTTTGAGAAGTTTTATTTACAGTGAAGATCCTTGTTAATTCATAGAAACCTTTTTTCAAATTATCCCTCCCATGTAAATTTATATTAAACAAGATGAAAGAAATTAAATTTTAAATAAAACTTTCATTTTGCCACATTTTATTGAAATAATTTAAATAAAAGAAAAAAATGATGCAAAATAAGGTCGCGGTTGGATTGAAATCCCTTGATTTATGCCAAGATTGAGTGAATTATGAAAAAATAAAACCCACAAGTAGGTGGACAATTTTCTTTGGCCTTGTTCAAACCCTTGAGCAGTGCAAAAAGTGACATTTTATGCAAATCAAGATCCGCCTGCGTTTGAATTAAAATTCACTCGCCGTCGTGGAAAGTGCATCTCGCTTACTTTTCAGCTCCTGCCATATTAAATTAAAGTTCCGGTGCCGACGATATGGCTTGATAGTGTAATTTGAATGCACCGCGAATCCGCACCGAAAGTCGGCCGTGACCTTCTATTTGCTTAAAGTTTCTTTCCCAGCCAAGCGTTCGAGAAAGAAAAATTACCATTTCTTCATTGCCGGTCAATTGTGACTTGTGGCAGTAAAAAATAAGGAGCAATAAATAGAGATAAGAAGAGGAATAATTCATCTTTTAGTTTTATCGGCGCGCAGAGGAAAGTGGGCGAAGTGGGCCGCGATGCCGCGCTTGAGGAACAACTCGAAAAGTGAAAATGCGCGACTAGAAGAGAGAATAAAGACGGGAAGGAAGAATTCAATGCCGTAAAATCAAACAATTCATGCTCTTCAAATTCAATAGCAACGACCTCTAAAAATAAATAACACGCAGTGCCCACCTACGTACAAAATTTACATAAATTGTTCAAGCTTCTCGATACAATTTCAGATAAAAGTGTATATTAAAATTCACTTGAAAAATAAATTACGAAATTGCAGAAAAATTCGTGTTATTTAAAAAGAAAAATCATTTCCTAATTAAAATGTAAAATTTTATAAAATTTCACTTTTCTCGTCCGTACTCCTATATATTTTAACTTTATTTAATATTCATTATTTTAAATTTTACTCTTCATGCCTAATTTCAATTCAAAAATAAAAGTTTAAATTTCCATAACAATAATAAAAATGAAATTTTATTTAACATCAATAATAATAATAATAATAATTTGATTTTTTATTTAAAAAATGTAATTAAAATAAATATAAATTTAATAAATAACAAATTGATTTAATATCAGATCAAATTTTATATGATATTTTATTTTAACTAAAGTTAACTTTTGAATAAATTTATATAAATAATATTATATAAAAAATTTATAGTGAGAATAATTAAATGAGGTAAACAAACATCTGATTTTACGAAATTGGTGTGTGTTTTACATGCATATCATTGTGAGAACTAATTTCAGCACAACCTGTCTTTTTATAATACGAGATAGATTAAGTAGTTCTCTTGCCAAATGTGCAGGATAATTTGAGCAATAAAGAGAGCACCCGTGTCTCGTCGATAAAACTGCAATTTTGAAAGTTTTACCAGGCAACGCAATTGAGCGTGCGAAAAACGAGTGAGAATTTTCTCATTTCTTCTCGCGCTCGATCTCTCGCCACTGGAGTTTGCAACAAGGAAGTGTAAAGTGATAGCCGGACTGCGTAATAAAATTAAATCCCATGCTTTTTGTTTGCAGACAAAGAAATAAATTTTTCATAATAAATAATATTTTATGACACTTGCGGTTGAACAGTTGCAAGCTTCCCTAGCAGGAACGGACAATTTTTAAGTATAAAATTAAAAATAAAAAGTGATTTGCTGACCTTTGATGAGAGTTTGTAGTTTTAAAACGTTCCGTGCTTAAAGGAAAAACAAAAGTTTTTGAGATGTTTCGTCGTTTTTTACCTCTCAGGATGTCCAGATTCCAGAAAAAGTATTAAATCAGTCATTAAATTAAGTCATTTGAGTCGCGAATGAACATAAACATGATCATTATCCACTCAATCATCACTCAGAAATCAGCCATCAGCCTCAAAAATAGAACACTTACCAAATCAACCCCGTCCCACTCCCCCTCCCCTCTCACGGCTCTGTCTGTCTTTTTCGCCACCAACTTGTTGGAGGGAGGGAGTTGGGAGGCAGTGAGTGGAAGAGTAAAAACAAAGTCGTGCAAGAAAATTCCTGCCCTGCAACCCCGTTCTTGTTTGCTCGTGTGCGGAATTCGCTTTAGCCGTTTTTGTCTGCGCGTCTTTCATTTTTGGCACTGCGTTCGCGGCGTGCTTTCATCTTTCATCGTTTTTCATTAGTTTTCGTTTCAATTTTCGCGTCCGTTGCGAATTTTAAACTTAAGATTGTCACGTTTGAATCTTTCTCTAGATCAAAGAGAAAACAAGCAGACGAATGGAGGCAAATTAGGTGAGAATATGTATGAATTAAGTTGGGAACTTTTCGTCAACTTTGACTGAAAGGAAATTTTAAACGCCCGTCAACTTTTCGTTGCTTTTTTCTTCTAAATTCGAAAATATTAATCGTCTTGCTTTCAAATCTCAGCAGCTTGTCTCCCATAATTTTGCGATATCTACATACGCATCATTATGGATTCGTCTGTGCCAAAAAGACGTGTGGTTCCGGTCACCGTCCCCTTCGACGAATTAGACGCAATCCTCTTTGAAAATAACTCTGGAAGGTTTGTCACTGCATATTTTTAATTTCTGCAATATTTGTTGATTAATTTTTTTTTTTAGACAACAAATCGCAAGAGTGCGTAAAAATTACAAATTGTCGGAGGAAATGAACGTGACGGATTCGCTTCCGAATGTGGAGACCATCGTCATTTCGCATTCTAACCTCAAGGACAATGAGCTCGGTTTGGAACCAAAACCTAAGAGATTGAAGCGAAACTTCACCTTTGCTGGATACAAAGATGAATTCGACAACGACCAAAAGTACAGCGCCTCTAAATACCAGCTATTCTACAGGGCACTTGAGCAAAAGAGGGTTAGAATTCTTTTTTCTTTTCAAATTATTGATTCTTAAATTTTACAGGAGACTTTCGAGTTCCATTCCTATCTAAAAAGATATTTGAATGATGAAATTCAACCTGTGAAAAGTGCCGCAGAGCTAGCTTTAAAGGAGCTGCCACGCTGTTCAATCTTGTCAGCTGGCAAGCAAAAAATGTACCTCAGACTGAAGGCCAAGTACAAAGGACTGAATTCTCGTGATGCTGAAAAAGATGCTATTTTTCAAGTAATTTTTAACCCAAGTTTGTTTATACATAAGAAATATTCATTTTTTTTCTATTCCCAACAGACCCTTTGTAGGGTTGTGCACAGTGAGCAAAGAGATTACCTCTCCTTTTGCCAGAATCAGGCAAAATACTCGAGGCCCATTGATTACGAAAGAGTGCTGCCAGGCCTCATCAATTACATTGAGCGCTCACTCTTTGTAAGTTAATGTGTTCCTAATTATTATTCATTTTGTCATATTCTTATTTTTCCTAATAGCATCGGCAACAATCAACTCCTCTCGAGTATGAAGCCTTTTACCATTTGCACTCTGTCATCGACATGAACAAGTTAACACTCAAAAACTTTGGTTTCAAGCCTAGCAGGATGCTGATGGCCCTTGTAAAATATCCTTGTAAATTCTGCAGTTAATGTAAATATTAATGCGATCCAAATGCAGGGCCAGGTTCCATTTACTGATACAGAGTGCAAATTCTACAAGGGACTCTCTTTGGAGAGAATGGCTGAAGAAATGGAGTTTCTGGTGCCCTCGGACAACTCCTTGGGGTACAAGGCCAGAAAACAGGATGGACCGTGCATTTACAAAACTCCAAGTAATTTATTCATTTGTGCAGAAAATGTAAAACAAATTGAAACTTTAAATTTGCAGTTAGCTGTGATCCAAACGCTTTATACTTTGGCGCCGAGACTGAAGCTGAAATTGTGACTTGCTCGAGCGTCATGGAGCTTCTGGTGGATATTCATCCATACAGTCTGCAAAACTCGGCAACTAGAAGGGACATTCCCGTCATAGTCAAGATGCTTGACTGTAAGTTCTTGCATAAAAAGCAGTTTTAAATTTAATAAATATAATTTAATCAGTGCCTGATGGCTCTCAGAAGAAAGTGGTCTTTTTGGACAAGGCTCTCCCTCCATTGGAAATGACCACTTACGACAAAAAGGTTTGGGCTTGCAAAAGAGCGGTCAGAGAACTTTTTGCAGCAAGTGACATCAAAGCTTATAAGTATGACAAGCACACAAAATATATATTTTTTGCATTTAAAAACTTCTCTGTAGCTTTTCAAACCTTGATGAAATTGAGCTGAACAAAGAGAAAGAGAAAGACAAAGGAGAAGAAGAAGAAGAAGCATCGGATGATGAAGAAATTCAGAATGCACAGGAGGAAGATTTCCCCTTAATGCCACCACCAAATGCAAATATTGTTTACGGATTGTACAGCATCGAAGAACGCGGACACAGTGTCCGCCCAATTAACCTTGTAGTAAGGTCTAGTTACCACGCCTATGAAGTAATAACTTGCTTCTGTTTTTAAATAATGAAGCAAAACATGATTATTATTTTGTAGATCAAAAGTGGCAGCGATGAGAAAAATTATTTGCATTTCTCTGTGAAGTTAGAGGAGCAGCCCGAATACGGCGCTCAGTGCACGACGATCAGCGAAGTTTCTCGAGAGTGGATGGCCTTGTCGCTGCGCAAAGGATCAATGCTATGCAGAGGTGCGACCAGTCTCTTTAATTGCATATTTTTTTACATCAAAAAAATAACAAACTATGTGACCACCCACTTCTTTTTAAATATTTATGGCAAGGCTGTTTTGGAAAATAATGTGTCAATTAATTTTTTTTATTATTATATAAATTATTTATATATTGTATTAAATAAATAATCAATAATTGGATTTCAGTGCGCGTGGATGCCAAGACACTGCAAGTAATTCAGGTGCAGAAAATGAGAATGAAGGCGCTGAAGCAAGAGTGCAAATCTCGTGGAATGCACATCAACTTCCGAGCGGCCACTTTGCACCATGTTTTTAGCGAGCTGACGGAACTGGAGCCCGGCAGCTACATTTTGCAACTGATCCCCATCGAGGGTGTGGCCCGTCTACTCGAACATGACACCACAGACACAAACCTCCGGGGGTATTTTTAAGTCTTCAAATTTATTCCTCCAGTCAATTATTAAATTAAAAATTACAGGGGCAGCTTCTATAACCTCCACTTGCATTTCCACAAGTCAAACCACTTGATCGGCCCCACGAGTCACATTCCATACTCTCTGATTGACCCTTTGGTGGCCACTCCATATCATGTGGAGCACAACAGGGTGCCAGCCACTTTTGAGCCAAAAATCGGATTCCCATCTAATCCCATTAATCCTCATATTGGGTTTGTATTTAAATATAATATTATTTTTTCCTTTAATTTCTTTGTAAAAATAGCAATCCTGAACAACTCGTGGCGACGACTGAGCCGACTGAAGAGGGTAATGAAGATGGCTTCGATTTGGATTTTCACATCAGTGATAACGAGAGCTTGGAAGAGTGGATGGCTGAAAATGAAACCAGAAACTGTGCAAAACTCCTTGAGGAGGCGCTCGGGGATACGCTTAAGGAAGCGCTTGATCAAGTCGAAACCGAAGAGCAAGTGGAAAAACAGCCCGATTCACCTGAAAAACTTGTGGCAAATGAAGAGGATGCCGACATCATGCGCATCATCATGGAGATGCGAGTAAACTCTCCAATTTCGCACTTGGGCTCTTACGTGGGCAGCAGTGTTGCTGGTCAAGCAGCTGCTGCTTCTCATCTTACGTTCAATTAAAGGTATTTCTCATTTAGCCTCTAAAAACTTTTAAAACTGGTAAATAGTAAAATAGGAAAGAAAATAATGAAGGTTTCCTCTAGTTTTTGGTTAAAGATTGCATTGTTAGGTTTATGCTAATGAGGTGAATTTCAAGAGAAACGCGACCTTTTAGACCTTCCTTCCTTCCTGTAGCATATTATTTTACTTGGCGCCGTTTCCGTTCTCGAGGAGAAATAACGTGTTGCGCGCGAGCATAAGTCTCGGCATTTACCACAGCCAGGGTCATTTGCTGGCTTTTTGAATTACTCGGATCAAAACAAAGAGAGAAACTGGGCCGCGGCTTGCAAACTATTGCATTTTTTCGTGATCCACGCTGGCCACTGATGAGGAAAATTCGACCTCGCACTAGCCAAATAAGAGAGCGGTCTAATTATCGCGCCCAAACACCCGAGGCTCGACTGCAGTTTCATTAATGATTTCACGCACTCCAGATCGGATTTCGCTTTCAGACTTTTATTGTTATACACGTGCATAACTTTCTACTTCATTGTTATGGAAATAAAATTAAAAATGCGCACCGGTAGCAATGATGTGGATAAAAAAGATAAAAAGCGATCAACTTATTCAGAAGCAACCAAGCTGAAATGCAGTCGTGAGGATGCAGTCTTTTTAAAGAGTCATGTTAATCCAGGCGAAAAGTTGTTTTGTTTCGCTTTTGCATAAAACATCCGAAGCAAGAAAAGATGAACAGAGAAAGATCACTAAATAAATTGAAAAAACGGTGCTTTTTTCTCTTTCGTTTTTTTCTTATTGGACATATAATTGGAGCTCTTGAGCCGCAGCGATTACGATAGGTATATCATTATTTCTATTATTTGTACCTCGAAAATCCAAGGTCCTTGCTTTCCCTGGTGTTGCTTTTATTTTCTCGGAAATTTTCCCATGACTGCAGCTCGCTTGAAATATTTCAATTGAAAGTTGGAGAAAAACGTTTGCATTCAACATCACATTTTGGGACCGTATTTTTATATTTCTACGTTTTTGGTGCGGCGCGAACAAGCCAATTCATCTCTCGAGCGAGACACTCATCCGCAGGCTTGTTTGCCTACTTTCTTCCTCGCAGCATCTTCACGTCAAATACATCCAGTTTTTACTTTCCATCGTCAAGCGTCGACTCACAATCAGAGCCGCGTGTCAAGGACATCCCACTTGCGGTCATAATGAAAAAGCTGAATTATTGATGGAATCGATTTTTTTAATTTTATTATTCATTTTAAATAAATTTTATTTTTAAATATCGCTAAATAATTGGTGGGGAACTTGGATGTGTATTTTCTACAGAGGTGAAAATCAAAATTAAGTGAGAGGTTTGATTTAAATCGGAGCGGATAAATTATCGCTGTGCCCGTCATTCAAGCATATTTGCCGGATCACGATTTGTAATTACGCTTCAAATTGTACCTACTTGTAGAAGCTTCTCCACACACAATTAGATCTCACTGTGCTTTAGAAACTCTCGTTGCTCTCTTTAAATCAAGTGTGTGCCCGGCCGGCTGTGATAATTTGTATTAATATGAGCGCGCGCGTTTACAGCCTGTGCCAATCGCTTCCGATGTCGGGCACGCCGGAGAGAAATTTATTTCATACACGTGCGTTGCGCTTATTTGAGAAGTGTATAGGCCTTTGGGGAAAGGTGGCCGCAGAGAGCTTTTATAATGCGTTCACAACTAGATGCCGGATTGCGAGCAAACAAAGCGTGTCCGTGGGCAATAATTATGCAACTTGTAATTACTGCACCTCACTTTTCCAGTTTTATTGTATTAAATTTTATTTTCATTCATTTATCGCGTGAGAAATACAGGAAGCATATTATAATTTGTAAGTAATTCCTTATTTTTAATCTTACGGAAGAAAAAGGTTAACAAAAATTATGCTTATATTTATAATTAATTAAACTGTTTATCAAATAAGTAGAATAAAAAATTATTCCAAAAAAAGTAAAAATAATTTTTTTCAGAATCAATAATTTTCGATACAAAAATTTTTTCTTTTTAGCAATTAGTTTTTTCTTTTGAGTGCGTAATGAGCTTAGTCCAACGTACCCCAATTGGCTCATAAAGACTCCCTTTAAATAAGTTTTATTTCCTCACCGCTGGATGTTACATGGCTAGGGAATTCTCGTGAATTGCATCAGCACATACCTATTGTATTGATTGAGCTATAGTGCCGGATGTTGAGCAAACACCGCTTATTGGGCAGTTCTCGAATGCACAAACTTTTGTGTTTTGCAAGCTGAGAAGCATTCACTTGAATCAATTTTACTGCCATGCGGAAATAAATTATTAATGCGTTCAAATTCGTTTTAAAAATATTATTTTTTACATTGAATTCATATTAAATTATAAAATTCAACGGAGGCAGATACGGTCGTTTTGATCCCAAAATTTAAATTTAATTCTTGCCAGTTTGGCCCAACAATTTCTTTTATTTTAAATAGATTTTTCACTAATTGAATATTGATTGCACGAATAAAAAATAATGGGAAAAAAAAGATATTCTTCAATTTGTTTTGAAAAAAAAATACTCTTATTTTGGCACAGTCAACTCAAGTTTTTACAACAATAGGAGCCATTTTTTTGCAATTATTTGCAATTTCAATTGTCTATCAATGTCAATAATGAGTCTTAAGGTTATAAACAAATGTCTTATTTTCCATGCTTTTATAGACTTAATATAAAAAAAAATTTTTTTTCCAGAAATGTATACTCTTTGTGAAATAAAATCCATCTAATTTTATCGCTCACACTCGATAGGAAAAGGGTACTTTTTGATCGTGCCTTGAATATTAGATTTGACATTTCGCCCCTCTCTTCATAAAGGCCACAAAACCTGCGCTCGTCATATGCAATCGTGCCGGATTATTTTCTCTTTCACATACCATCGCCGAGCTCAAAATGTGTCTGTTTCTTAAGAGCTCTACCTGAGCGGATTAACAAGGAAAAAAGCACAAATATCAAAAATAAGGTTGGCTGGTCGCGTGGTCACTCACCTTGTTGCTGGAATGTGGGTGTCGCAAACACCGCCAGTATCACAAAAAGCACTAAACTGCTCGATGACCGCCGCATTTTGGTCTTTTCTTCTAAAGTCAAGTGAAAAGGCCGAAATGCATTTAACACGCGTTTGCAAAAATTATCAATGATACGGTCACTGTTCGGCACCACTTCACGAGGAAACACAAATCCTTATAAAAAAAATATTTCTTGCGCTCTCACGCTGTATCCGTTTTTCAGGTGTGCAAAAGTCGGTGCATCGCTTCCTCACGGCAGATGTGCTCCGAGCCCTCTCAGGTGCTACTAACCTGCCACTCCGCCGCAAGTTTCTTTCTGCTCGTAAGAAAAAGAGAAAGCCTCCTGTTTACTACTGCCGCCTTTGCGTGACGTCACAACCTGAGAAACTCCACCGTGGCCTACAGAGGGCCTTTCAGTACAGCCTTTATAATAAGGCTTAACCAAAAAGCATCCAAATGAAATTATCAATTGTATTGTTACTTAACTTTGAAGAAAGTTCATCACATATTTACATTGAGAAGTCTTCTTTAAACTATTCCAAAGTTGAAATTATTAGTGAATAGATTTTTGTACCATACATGAATTATTTTGTTTCATAAATGCATTTCACATCTGCAGGTTTTCATAATAAAATCTGGTTAATATACAAATTAAATTATTTTTACTTATCCGAAAACCTTATTGTTAGCATATTTGCATTTGAGTTGGAAATGTGTTGAAATTAAAAATTGTTGAATGAAGTTTTCTGTTAATATTTATTTGCTTAATTGCTACACACAGAGTAATTTAACCGTCCTGCTAGAATCAAAACAGTTTCCTGTTTTCACCCTATTTTGATTATAAAACATTTTTAGCTTTAAAAAAATTGTTAGCGAACCGACAACACACATTCACAGAACAAATACTGCTCACATTCTGCTGACGACTTGCGCAAAACAAGACTTATTCAATATCAACTGATACTTTACAACTGAAAATATTCGCTTTCATGAATATTCACGATAAGTTTTACCTCTTTGATAAGAGTGTGCTGCACGAGGGGACACTTAAAATGTTTGATTCTGTTAAAAAACATTGATTTGATTGTTCCTCTAAACAGACCGATCCTTTCCACCACAATTTTCTACACAGTTAATCTGAGTTAATCAATAATTATACCTTATTATTGATAAAGTAATAATACTATTCAGGCTAAACTGGGATATTACACAGCCTTTTCTTATGCGATGTATGCATGCAAAAAATTAATCGATTGCTGTCTGACACATAAAGTATTCTAATCCCATCGGATTTTAGCTTATTTTGATCACAAGGGTTACTTTTACACTCACCCTTTTGGGGGATGGCGACTGAGGGAGGAGTGCTGTGACAACGACTCAAAGATTCTTGTTCAGGAACGCCAGCAGCTTAGTTTCGTAGTGCTTGCTCGCGTCCACACTCCTTAGACTGTGCCTCTCATTGGGATAAACCTAAAATTCAATTGATTCAGTATATTCCTAATTTAAAATCATCCCAGCTCACCTGCAGCTGATATGGCTTTCCGGCTTTCACCAGAGCATTTATGAGCATGCTCGTGTGTTGAAAATGGACATTCTCGTCCAGCAGTCCATGGATTATAAGCAGTCGATCTTCCCTGTAATATATTCTCAATGAAATCTCTTTGGAAAGAATTAATTCTCTTTACTTACTCATCGGGAAATTGATTGATGTAATGGAGAACGCATCCGGACCTGTAGCCAAGTACGTTGCTCTCGGGAAGACTCATGTACCTTTCTGTGTAGCCGGTGTCGTAGAAACTCCACGAAGTCACTGGGGCGCCAGCAATTGAAACCTGATTTTAACAATAATTAAGAATATTGGCTTTAAAATGGTCAGGATTGGACGGCAACCTTAAAAACGTCTGGGTAGAGAGCAAGGCCTAGGAGACTCATATAGCCCCCATATGACCAGCCATGAATTGCCACTCTGTCCATGTCAATGAATCCAAGAACATTTGCTAGACCTCGGAGCACTTCCACTTGATCGGCCAATTCAACGGTTCCCTGAATTATAATAATTTAGAGGCAAGATCAATAAATTGGCTTCGATTTACCATTCTGTGGTGAAGGTGACTTTCAAACTTGATTCCTCTGTGGAGGGAGCCTCGGGAGTCAATGGCAAGGACACAATAGCCCCTTGCTGCCAACATGTGCATCCGCAGGTGTCGCATTCCTTTGAACGAGTTTGAAACTAATTGTACTTCGGGGCCGCCGTAAACGTTCAGCACAGTAGGATACTGCTTGTCAGGCTCAAAACCGCTCGGCTTGAAAACCATGGCATACAAAGTCTCTCCAGACTTCAGCTGGTGCGTCAGGATTTCAGGACAGTGACAGTCGACATCAGGAACTTAAGATCAGTTTCAATTATACTCACTTAAATTACAAATTTCAACTCACATGAGGGCTCAAGCAAATAGCCGACAGGACTCAAATTAACACCGTCAACAGTCCAGTCGGACAGAACTACCCTAAATACTTGGCAGGCAGGCAGCTGGCGAATGTTGCTGTACACGCCGACCACCAAAGTGCATTCCTGTTTGGAACAATAAATTATATTTCAATGGCGTGAAATTAATAATTTAAAAAAAAACCTTGTTCATCTCAATACTGTAGGAGTATCCAGGTCTGGTGAGCAATCTGATTTCGCCAGGTCTGAGCAGTGAAACAACATAAAGGTGTTTTTCCAGGGGCGACTCTCTCATGCCCATGAAGTAGACCAAGTCGTGCTCTTCGTCAACCCAAACCGATCTGGGTAGAACTTCCCAATCGCCCGACGTTAATGCGGTTCTTTTCAAAACCTTTGCTCTTTGCAAACCTGTTGAAATTTAATTTTTTTTTGCATTCTTTGAAATTGTTATCATAAAATACCGTCAAGAGGAACTGCTTCGTCAACACAGTTAATCAGTTGCACTGTAAGTGCTACAGTAATAAGATATAGGTGCCGAAATCCAGTTTCTTCGCTGGCCCATAAAAAGGTCATTTTGCCTTTGTCGTCTGAATGGAGGAAGTGCAAAATGTCATGGACATTAATCCAAACTTCAGTCGACTCGGAGTAGAGCAAGTTGACACTGACTGGAGGCAAACAGTGGGGAGAGTGATTGTGGTCTTCGTCTTCCTCAAGCCCAAAAGAGTCGACAGACACCAACACAACGTCAAGTTTTTGTTGTCTTCTGTCCAGCAGTTGACACCAAACTCTGAATTTCAAAATAATTTCTAATCATTATACTGATTTTCATTTTATGCAGAAAACTCACTGCGTTCCGTCCGGAATCCATCCCGCTCGAACCAAATACTCGTAGTAAGGAAAGAGGCAGTTTAGACTGCGAGTGAGACTAAGGACTTTCACTTCAGTCGGCATCAAGTTGGTGCCTAGTTTGAATTGGAGCATTTTAAGCTCAGACTTGGCGTTGGCCGTGCCTGCACGAGGAAATCGCAGCTCTTCAACTGCACCCGTGGTAGGAAAACAGCAGATCTCCACCTCGGACTCGTCAACTAGCTCAAACAAGAGGCGGTAAAAACCAGGTGACGTTTGCTTCGGTTGCCACCAGTAGCCTTGATATCGATTGAACTCCTCCTGCATCACGTAGCTTGGAGAACCTGCACTCAAGGGGTCGTCAATCAAGTTATATGGTGGGCCTTTGTGAAAGTTTGTAAGACGCATCGAGCTCCCTGAAAATAATTCAATTCATTCACATGAATTTTTTCTTCTTTGATATGCAAAAGGAATAAAAAGTAAAGGTTTAAGCACCTGTCAAGCTGTGAGTGACCCAAATGTCATTGTTGCACACAAAAGCAACTAAGTCGGGGTTTGAGGGACAGATCTGCGGGCTCATTTTTGTTTGATTCATATTTGGGTCCAGTTCACTCGGGCAAAGTGCGCCCACCTGGAAAATGGGTTAAAAATTCATTAAATAAAGAATAATTTTATTAATCTTCTGACATTTTGTGCGATATCCAAACATTGGTAGAGTCTGCTAGCGACAGGAAAGACAATTCGGCCACTCTCGGCGTGCAGTTCGTAAGAAGTGAGGCCCCAGGTGGCGAGGCGCTTTCTCTCCCAAAGCAGCTGTTCCTCTCTGGACAGCCGACCACCACTGGTCAGTGACTGGAAATTGGCCTCTAAAACGGGGTGCCAGTGCAGAAGACTGAAAAATTCAGAGTTTTACTTAATCGAACGGGTTTGTGGGAAAAAAATAAACCTTCGGTTCGACTCTGCTTCTCCAAGGGCGGGTATGTCTGTGGCGAGCAGAGTCGACTCCCAGGCAGTGCTGGGCGGCGCGCCCAAAAAGTAGATCCTGGTTTTGCCAGTGCTCGGGATATTCCTGAAGGCCAACGAACTGGGCAACATGCTAGCTAACGAGGACAGCTGCCTTCGCAGTTCACAAACTTCAGAGAAGATTTCGGACCACGACGGAAAGACCGACTCGCGCGAACTCGAGGTCAGCGAGTGGTCCTTTCCAGGAGAGGAGTGCTGGTCTTCGTCCATGTTAAGAGAGAGGCGCCTGGACAAAAATTTGTCAGAATAGAATAAAAAGTAATAAAAATTACAAACCTCTGGGACTATATTTTAGAGCAAAATCACAAGAGTCATGGGCATGTCTCCAGTCAGATTATTCTGCGAACATTTGTGCTCGAGTTAATAAATATCAAACAATTTTTGAACTTGTTGAACGAAACTAAACATAAGCCATGAATACACAATTAAATTGTCAAGACTAATCGTTTGTTGACAAAAATATGCCCGCTCGATTGACAATGCGTGCATGATTTTAACAATATTCTCGCTCAAATGAATGAATTTGGTGCGCTGGAAAAAATAAAGCACTCACTTGGAATACAAATGAAGGTTTTTTAAAAGAGTTGGCAGCGATTTGCCTCTAAAAAGAGCCGAAATTAATTCATTGTTTTCGGACAGAGACTTGAAGAATTGCGAGAGCAGCAGAAGAAATTTTGCACCTGACGAGAGGTTTTGTTTTGAGGTCGGCAGATGGGTGCGCACGGTGGCCATATTTGTGGGGATTGCGCGCGAAAAAAGTGCCCGCGAACTCTCCACGTGTTAATTATACACAAAACACATGATAAAATAAGGGAATCTCTACTGTTGAAGATACGATTTAAACGTTAATTAAATAAATAGAATTTAATCAAACTAGACAATTTGCATAATTCAATAATAATAATAATATTGCCAATATATTGAAAAAAAATGGCATTATATTAGGTTAATCTCTGTCAATTATTTCCGTTCAAATGTCTCAAAAAAATTAACGTATTAGGTTTGCGGTTTATCCAGTTTTTCACGATTAATAAAACTAGCACGGATACTTAATAAAACTTTCACCAAAACTGACATTCATTTATATATCAAGATTATTCTAGTAGGTCACCACATTAATAAAGCCACGAGGCCCTGCAGCAAGACGGGCGCACCTGTTTTGAAAAATAAATTGAAAACGTCAGAAAAATTAATCTTAATCTTTCATGTCTTAAAGTATTTATTTAATAAATTATAGTTTTTGTTTCATGTTCAAAAATTGCAACATTACACAATCAATTTAATTGATTTTTATATTAAGTACTGCCTCCCTCAAAGTCGAGGGGTCGAATTTTCATTTCCGTGTGTGCCAAGCTGTAATCATCTCTCCACTTCTCCCAGATGATTCCTTGGAAATCGTTGTTGCCCTCGGGGTCCATGAAGTACTCGCCATTCAGGTTGGCCTCAAAACAGCTGCTCAATTAATTATTAAATTTATTAAATATATTTTAGGAATTTAGTACCTATGGAACCACCATCCGCTTGCATATGTTTTAGCACATGGACAACATGCAGGTGATTCGTCGTTTGTTTTGTCGATTGTGCTAAACGGCGTTCCATTGTGCGAGCTGAAGGAGTCGGACGCATTTCCTGAATAGCCGGCCACGGTGAGTCTAAAATTTGTTTTCTCAGACCCAACTCTGAATAATGAGTACTCGGCATAACTGCATGAATAAAATTAAAATTATATCAATTTCTTATTTCACTTATTTTTTTACTAACGTAAAATTGCCTTCGAAGTCTCTCAACTCGATTCGGAGCTTGACTGGTCTCTCGCCGGACGTTGCGTGGTGCAGAAAGTCGTTGCCAGCCCAAAATTCTTTCCTCAAGTCCCCGAAGCCAATTTTGTAGTCCTCCCAGGGGCGCGTGAAGTTTTCAAGTTTTCCGTAATGGCCTCGTCGTTGCACCACCGTCCATCCACCGCCGTCCGTGTCCTGGTCGCAGTAGAGCCAGTTTTGGGCGCCGTTGGCCTCGACTTTGTGTCCAACAGCCACGTCCTCTCCAAGCAGACTTGTGATTCCACTGTTGCCGTTGATGTCACTGCAGGACCACTGATGGAATTTTTTCGATTTACCTGCTGAGCTTGAATGGACCTGGTGAGGCGTTTTGGTGCTTACGTCCTCATAGTCAGAGTCAAGTAAGCTTGGAGACATTAAATCTGATTCGTCTTCGTTTGACATTGACTGGATTGAAATTTAATTAATTAAATATTTTCAAGAATATATATTTCGAATCTTACATTATTTTCAAAAGGACAGGTATTGTTGTAAGCGATGTGGTCTAAAATTAGATCCTCCAAGTGCTCGATTTCGTGACTGGTGTTGGTCAGCAGGTCACGCATGTTTCGCAGCGTCAATTCCGTACTTTCTGAGACGGCTGAGATGCACGAGTTTGTTGCTCGAACGGTCAAGTTTTGATTTTCATCTCGGTGCTTTCGGCAGCATTCGGACCCCTACAATTTTTAGGAAGTTATTAGACTAAAATAAAAAATAAAAATAAAATCATCCAACTTGAACAGAATGTCGCAGCGTGTGGTTGGCAAGCTTCAGGAGGTGTTCTTGGCCCCTCTTGAGCTGAGCAGTCGTTTCCTCTGAACTTTTGACTGCCTTCTCGACACTCTCCAAAGCACGCCACGTCCTCCTCAAAGGAGAGGCCATGCGGCGCCAGGCCCTGCTGTCCATACCGCGGATTTCCACCTCACCCTTTAAAAGTAAACGGGCGCAATGAGTATTTTTTTATTATATATATTTAAACTCACTTCTTCAGGTAAACGGTCGAATATGACGTCAACCTTGGAGGCCACGTCTTGCAATAGAGCTTCGAGTACGGACGAAGGCGCTTGACACTTCGACGCTGCCTTTTCTGCCGTCGCGTGAGACTTTTCGTCTGCTTTTATTTGCGCGATTAATTTGTCAACTTTTCTCTCGATTCCCTAATAATGGCAAAATGAAAGTTTAAATTATTACAAATCAAATGTGTGCGCGCTTGACACAAAAATCTTGAAGGGATATCTATTTTAAGAACGCTAAAAAGTAACTTTTAGGTATGAATGGAGGCTTTGAAGTATATATTTTGATTGAAAAAGGATTTTTTCTCCGAGTTTATTTTTCCAAATATAAACAATCCAAGTTAGCTGCATGGCTAACTACATGAAATCTAGCTCAGGACGCTATATAGTAATTTTGAGGTGATTATCAGTTGCATTGGACGCTTTTAAAGTATTAATAAGAATATTGGCTTTTTTATTTTTGCTTTTACATTTTTCACGTTTATTTTTACTTATAAAAAAGCTTGGTTAGTCGCATCGCTATCAAACATGAAATCTAGCTCAAGACGCTAAAAAGTAACTTTATTGAAGTGAAAAAATCAGCGGCGGCTTAGATGTATTTTATTTTTTATTAAAAAGTCGGATTTTAATGGAATTTTTGCACGTTTATATGTTTTTTCACGCAAAATCTCTGACTTGCTTCGCCAACAAACGTTAAATCTATCTTATTCAAGAAAAACATTTATAGGAGAAAAATAAGAACAATCAGATATGCAAATTTCCTTGTTTGCAAAAAACCCACGCGCACAGCTTGCGTGAAAAATTGGCGTGTACAGGCAAAAGGTTGTGCTCCCTAAAAAGGAATCTTGCCTAGACGATTTGCAAGGGAAAGATTGCTTGGATCTATATATTTTATTTTTTAATATTCACGAGATGAAAATCAGCAAAAAAATTTAATTATATATTTTAAAATGAGTCTGTTTCATGCAAAGATATTATCAATAATTAAAAAAAAGCTTGAAATGAGAAAAGGATAATTCGAATTAATAAAATTTATACCTTGAGAGTGCTGAGGACTCCTCTGGTCGCAAACTCGCCCAGGAGAGGTGTCGATGGCTCGTTATTGGCGCCGGCAGCGTTGTCGTCGATGTTCTTGGCGATGCCGCCCAAGCGAGAGTCGATCTCGTCCAGCCGGCCGGACACACGCTGCAGCTGCTCCTCCTGCGCGCCCAGCATCTGGTTCATCTTGGCGTCAAAAACTTCAAACCTTTCCTGACCTCTTTAAAATTAATTTGATTAAATTTCATCACACAAAATTGGCGGTGCTTTCACCTGCTGATGAAATCGACTTTGCGATCCAAGGCTTTGATTTGTTCGTTCCAGGCGGACACGTGCAGCTGAAATGTGTCCCAAACGTGTGCTCTCTCCTGCACCAAATTAAAACAATACGAATTTAAAGAAAAATGAAAATTTATAAGCAAAATTCGCTTACTTGAAGATGCTTGACGTTGCTGTCAATGTGACCCATGAGCGTCGCAATCGCAAGAATCTTTGATTCCAACTTTCCCAAATACAACGAGTTGAATTTCTCGAGCTGAACTGAGAAGAAAGAAAATAATAATAATTATATTGAGTGTGCAAATAAAGACAATGAGAATTCATTAGTTTTTTATTTGAATGCTCATTTCATTGTCAAATAAATAAAGATGAGAAAGGAGTGTATAAAAAACTGCCTCTGATTTTCGCTGTGTGCGAAATTGAATATGAGCAACGATGATGTCACTCTCTTTGACCTCTCTGCATTAAAAAAAATATCGTGCCGCTAAAGAAACAATTTGAATTTTTATGAATAGCAAATAGCGGTATGGTTTAGACTAAAGAAACATTTCAGGCTTGAGCTCTATACTCTTTGCTTTAATTTAGTTTTAACTTTCAAATTATGGTGAATCAACCCTTGATAGAGGATTTCAACTCGGAAAAAAATTAAAATAATAAAAAACTCGTTGGAGACGTCGGCCGGAGGGCTGTGCATAAATAGCACGTAAAAGATTATACAAAAATAGAAAAATGATAAAATTTTTGAAATAAAATTATGCAAGCGCTACAACATAAGAGATGCATAAAAATTTACAAGACGGCCTTAAATTTTGTAATGGCAAATCTGAATCTTAAATTTTCATGTAATTTGTGCTCAAAGTCGCTCGATTTTATAGCCGAGGACGAAAATAGAAAGGAAAATAGTGTGTGTGTGCAAAATAATAATCTGGTGAGCCAAACCTGCTTGAAACTGTTTTTTCTGCGCGAATGTTTTTGCAAGGCGCGAGCGTGTTTACGTTATCGAATGGACCGACGGCAGTTCTTTTTTAAAGCAGAAGAGTTCGTTTGCTTGTTAGTTCTCAGCGCGCTTTCACTCCGTCTGCCCCCGCCGAACGCAAAAAAATTACTATTAAATTCGCATAATGCATGTTAATTAGGTAAAAATCAGCCACAGAAGTTTGCAGTTTTTAATTGTAGGCATTTGAGATAATTTTGATTCGTTTTAGTAGTTTTGAGAGGTTTTTAATGCGTTAATGAATATTAATAATAAATATGTTTTTTATATTTAAAAAAACCTTTGTTTGCGTAAATAATTTCTTAAGAAGTTTGAAACGCAGCACGTTTCTATACGCGCCTTTGAACTAGGTTTAATCTATGCAATGATCAATAAAAATGTCGGCGCAATATTAAATTTGTTTGTATATAATTTCGACTCTTGGTGCGGAGAGATGAGCAATAAAATCCTGGCACAAAAAGAATTCATGTATGTAACGATTGGAAGTTTGGATAAATAAACACACTAAAGAGCCGCTCGACTAGTTTTAAAACGTTTTGAAACAGTAAAAATATTGCAGCCTTGCAAATTTGAACCCAATTTACTCTTAATTGTAAAACCTTAAAATGGCTAAGTAAGATAATCTTATTGTTAAATTTTCACTTTCACAATCGGTCTTTTTTACCTTTAAATCTTCTTATCGCTTGTGTTTAAAAAATAAAAACAAAATTCAAATAAAAAATAATTGTTTTTTTTAATTGAAAGAAAAATTCTGGTGGAACTTTCAAAACTCACTATTAACATCTCTGAGGGAGCTGGACAGGGCGTCGTTGATTTGGGTGTTGCTGGCGACGGTCGAGGGCACGACGGCGGCGGTGCTCCTGCTGACCAAAGGTGAAGCGGTGCTCGTGCGAATTTCGGCGGCGGCTCTGCCCAAAAGCAGACCAAAAAGCACCAGCACCTGCAAAAGGCCTTCCATTGTATTATTACTGCTCGTCGGAGCGACGCTGTATGACTGCGCTGCTATTTTATATTATAATGTTGATGGGCGCGAGTGGAGAGAAAAAAGGCTTCGAGTGTTTGTCTATCTGAATAAGCCGCCTCTGCTTTTCTTTTTTGTTCGCGCGCCCGACGAAAAAAAATTCTCTGTTTCGGTGCTGGCGTGAGTAATAAATTATATCAAAACCACACATGCATCGAATAATTTATGGACGGCTTTTATTAGCCCATTTTTTTGCGGGCCTTTCAAGCTCGTTTAATCTGCGGCATACTCTTTTTGTGTACAGAAAGGATAACCACAGACAATTTTTACAAATAAATTGATCAAAAGAATTTGAAAATCTTTCAATTTGAGAATTAAAAAAATTAAACGATCCGATTGATTTGAAAAGCAATTATTTTGGTAATAAAAGAACACAAGAAATTCAATAGAAATAAAAAATTATATTAAAGTGTACCTTCAGCAATCCTTTGGTCTTCATGTTCGTCTCTTTAAACTCACTTTTTAGACAATTTAAATTTTCTCATTTAAAGTTGTGTAAAAGGTACGACCGCTTTTTACGAGATAAAGAGTTATATGTTTGCATGGACTCTGTATCTCGGGAATGAACTCGAAAGAAGAGAGAACAGCATCAAAATCCAGCAGCGATGGAGCTGGACCAGGATCCCGTCGTAATCAGCGCATCTGTTCTGCGGCACAGTGGCAATCTGGCAGTGACAGCGAAAAGGCAAAAGATTGTGCGCGCCGCAGGAAAATAAAAAAAATCAAAGTGAAATTAGTGCTGCCATCTGTCGGGTGAAAGGAGGAAATACAAAAATTTCGTTTTAACTAAACTAATTTAATTATACATGCTAAATGACTTAATTTTTATATTTTTAGCATTAATTAGTAGAAGATAAAATTAAAATTAGCATTAAACATCAGTTTTGAATGAAATGAAATTGAATTATTTTTATCATGTTGGCACTTCTTCGACTTTCTTTCTTTCTTTCGAGTTGTCCACCGCCTGTTTCCACGTTGGACGAAAAATGGCCGGTGCAAGAAGCCTTCTGTCAGTCCTGCTGGCCGTGTGCGCCGTTTCCTGGGCGAGTGCCGACTCCTGCGGCAAACCCGAGGTGTCGGCCACTTCGTACACGACGCAGGACGCGACCGTGCTCACCAATATCGCCTACGTGGCCGAATTCTCGCTGAAATGCTCAAACGCCATCAAGGGTCTGCCCCTGTACGCCGAGGTCAACGGCAAGATTCTGCCCGCTGCCAGGACCAGCGACGACAACCACTATCAGGTACCACCTTCCGTCATCAGGGAAAATGAATTTTATTAAATTTATTGAAAAATTGTTCCAGTTTATCTTATAAAAGTCTTCAAAACCATTCACAAAATCCCCCCTTCACTTTTGAAATTGAATTAAAAAAAAAAACTGAAATTTTCTTCCATTTCTAAGAAACGTTTTTGTTAAAAAAAATTAATAGAAAAATAATTTAACAAATTTTTTTGAATGGGAAAATTAAAATATTAATTTACAATTTGACATTTTTCTTCAGGTGAGCTGGACTGAAGAGGTGAAGAAGGCCCGCAGTGGCAACTTCAACATCAATCTTTTCGACGAAGAAGGCTATGCTGCCCTGCGCAAGGCCATTCGCAGCGGAGACGATCTGGGCTTGGTGAAGCCCCTCGTGAGCGTCCTGCTGAACCACCCTGGCTCCTATCAGGGCCCTTGGGTCAATTCAGAGTTCATGGCCGCTGCCCTGGCCGTGGTGGTCTGGTATTGTGCCTACACCTTCAGGAACAAGCTGCTGTACTGAAAACTCGAAAGAATTCCGAAAATCTGAAGGGCGTTCAACGACGTTGATGTATGGGCCGAGTGCGTGGGATGATTTTTTTGTATGATCAATAAATCTAATTATTGTTTTCAAAAAAAAACCAGGCGTCATTTTTATTTGGAGAAATGAAAATTCCAACCAGAAATGTCAAGTTTTAAGTAATATTTAATTGAATCTTCGTTAAAATTACTCGTCGATGATGTACATGATCACATTGAAACATCTGATTAATCTTAAGACCTCGCCTGATATGAGGATCTTATACACTTTGACAAATGACAGGTCGTTCTTACTGAGATCATAATTTAAAAAGCTATAATCACTTCAAATGCAGAATAATTGATGCGGAAAACTTAAAAACCTCGAGGGTGATTCATCCTCGTTGAATTTAATTAAGTAGAATATCTGTCGTAAAATAAAATTCTGAGCAGTTTGTCAGGCAGACTTATTATAAAAATAATATTAACCAGAATAATCTAATTTGCCCACTAAACACATAAGCTAACTGAGTAGTGCGTAATGTCAGCACAGGTAACAATCACATTAACATTTCTTGCATGGCAACCCACATTTGAGCAAAAGTCATTAGGGAACCAGCCGAAGAATAAGAATAACGAGAAGAGTGATGAGCAACCTTGAATCGCCAGGACCGGTTGCAGAACACGTCAATTCATCCTGTTGAGTTTGGTATTTTGATAACGAATTGATCGGAGGCTTGCAGCTGGCGCCGACACTCTGGAGTTCATCCTGTGCAGAAATTTAATTTATAAATAAATGTTTTAAAAAAAATGCTTAATTATATAATAAAATTCCTACATTGTGATGCAAGATAATTTAAATTGGCTTACTTCGCACAGCTCCTCGCAGCTTGGGCACACGAGGGCTCCAACGTGCAGCCATTCGTCTGCCATTATTTTGATCGGAATTTCTTGGCCCTTGTGGTAGCAGGTGTAGGTGTAATTGGCCACAATGACGTTGATGCGACCTCCGTGGCAATTGTATTTGTAGCAACCGGAGCCCCAGTGCTGCCACAGTCGGACCTGCCGACAGGTGCGCTCCTCCCACATTGACCCTGTGTGATCGAAACAACGAGACCCTTCACCGTAGCTTTCAAGGGCAAAGTTCTTTTCCGGCTCTAAAAATACAATTTAAGCAGAAAGTTTCTTATTTTAGAGTTATCTTACGGGGATTATTTTCCTCAAAGTAACAATGGGATCCTCGGACGACCACATTTTTCGCGCGCCACGAAAACTCCTGAATGTAAGGACAGTAATCAGCCAAAGCTACGGAGCCTCCGTATTTCCCTTCGGACCCTTGACTTATGTGAGGAATTGCGTCGAAATTCTGAGAAAAAAATTATGTTATTGAAGCATAGGAATTTATTCGAAACAAACCTGGTATTTTGTCGGTAAATACCCCGAGTGCTCAACCAAATTGCAGAGGGCAACAGAACTCCGGTCATCCGTGCATTCAGTTTCAAGAGGGTCTTTTTTCACTTTATTGCAGTACGGGTGGATCGAAAGTCCACTGCAGAAATAATCATTTTAATTTTGCACGGCCGTCTTTTTGATAGACTTACAGCTTCACTCTCTTGTCCATCCACTCTTTGCAAGACTTCTGTGCAAAGTCGCAGCCCAAGTCTTTGCCCCAACTCAGCACTTGGGCCATGGAATAATTGGCTCGATACCAGCCCGTGTCCTCCATCAACGCAAGAGTTATGCGCGAATAGACTGGATTTTGAGTATGAGTCCCAGTCATGGCTTCGTTCTGTTTAAAACAAGAGTAAATATTTTTTTTCGTCCACACAAGCTGCTGCAATCACCTCGAAGACTCTTTTCTCCCAATGGGTCATTGCGGTACCTTCCTCACCCTGGTCCTCCAGTTCAGCTCCTTCCAAACTGTCACAGCCAAAGTGCCTTCGGACTTCCTCCACAACTTTCGGTAGAACGACCATCTGCACCATTCTCGTAATATTCCCTCCTCTCACTTTCCAATCCTTCCTCATCAACGTCCTGATGACCTTTTCACTCCACTGTCTTGTCTGAAGCCTGTTAATATAGATTAATTAAAATATTTTCCAACTGATATGTAAAAAATACGCACTTTTCATTTAATACTGGTTTGCCGTTGTCAATTCTTGGAGTTAATGGATTTCCGTCCGAATCTCGATAAAATGCGTACAAACTACTCGAGAAGCCGAGAGCATGGAGAATTTCGTGTTTGACCGTCGACAGCAAAATCTCCAGTTCTTGGGGTTTTGTGCTAATGCTGTCCGGACACAGGTTGGCATGACCGGCAATTGGCCTGAAAACAATTGAGATCAAAAGATGAATTAGGTCCTCAAATTTGGCAGAAATTCAAAATTTCACCTGTCGAGTGCGGCCTCCTGTTGGCAATGAGCCGCGTAGGCCACGGTCATTCCCTTGTGACACCTTTCCGTCTCCATCGCGGAAACGTAGAAAACAAAGTCGGCATTGGCGATTCCTGGACCTGCCGTACTGCCAGCGACCTCTCCACACTTTTGCCCTGTGGCGTTGCACGCGCGACAAACCTGCGGAAGATCGTAAATTTTTTAAGCACATAAAAGGGAAATTTGTGCTCACGTCGAGGTGCGACTCGGGCACTTGCACTTCGCCACACATGGTTCTCGACTCGCAGGCGTTTTTGCAGTAAACATGCGGCTCGCCTTTCCTGAAGAAAACTTGGTTGTTTTCGCACTTTCTGTGAAGGTTGTGGACACAAAATATCAGAGACTGTAGGCGAGATTTAGCACATTTTGACTCACCTGTTTAGTCTAATTACATTGGCAGTCTTCCTCACCATGAGCGCCTGTTCCCAAAAGTGAACAGCCTCTGGTAATATTGTATTCTGTTGGACAGAAAAAATGCGTTTTAATACAATAAATAATTTTCTGGTTTAAAAATACTCACATTAATTAACTCGAATTTCTCTCGATCAAGTCTGCAACACAGGAATGGAACAAAATTAATTTCAAAGGGTATAAAAAAATGAAGAGAAATGAGGAAAAACTTAATTTCACTGGTGCAAAGAAAACTTGCATAATTAATAATTATTACGAAGCGGTCATTCATGGAAACACTTGGAGATTTTCTTTGTTCAGCAGAAACAGTTTCACTTGACTTGAATAGTGAGAATTTGAGGCTATTAAAACTCTCCAAGATAGCCCCTGAGGTTAAACAAATTTATGAGCTTCTCCTTTCGACGACGGGCGACGTTTGTGCATAATCTTGCTAAGTGTCTTGTGAGAGAGTTTCGAAAATACTTTTGCGGCGTTTTTATAGATTCGAGGAAAGATTGGAGGTGGCGCTCCCGGAAATCAAATCTGTCGGAGCGAATAATATTAACATCTTTATTACTTTCAATTTTAACTTCAAATAAAAAATAATTAATTATATCTTGAAAATTATGACATATATTATTGTTAGTATTGGCTAATTTTGATAAAAAAAAAATATATATTTTAGAAAATTCCCATAAGAAACAATGTTTCTAAAATTCAGTTCTTGCAATAAATTCAATTTTTTTTTACTACTTTTTGTCTCCTTGGAAATGATATAAAATAAAACCAATTTTAAATTTATTATCAAAATTAATCAGGCCGTTTTTTGCTACAGCCTCATTTTAAAAGTTTATATTAATTAATTTATTAAGTTTTTTTCTACGTGCATTATTTAAACTATGAGCTAAAATAACTTTCCAGCAGAATAAATAATTGAGTAATATAATCTAATGATTTCAAGTGAAAAATACTTCAAGGTTGGCAAATTAGTGAAAATTGGCAAGCCCAATTTACGACCGCCTCGTTCGTTCAATTTCTTTCAACTTTATTGCACCGGCATTGGCATAAAACGAGATAATTGGCGGAGAGATAAATGAAGAACTGCCAATATCGGAAATGATCAGAAGCGGCAAGGCAAGACATTTCAGGCTCCATTTAACGCAGACGATGGATTCGGCTCAAGAGCAGTAAAAAATAAGAATTTAAGTCACGCCGAAGCAAAAAAAAATCTGTAACACCGGTGAACGCAATTTCTTCTTTTCATCAGGAAATAAAAAGCGAGAGAGAAAACGTTTTCATGCTTCCATTCATTATATTTTATGCAGGCGGTTTCGCAACGAAATGAGAATTCGTGCACATCTCTGGATGCGCAATAGTTGTTGTTTTGCACCTACCGAAAGAAAGATCATCAAAATAATAACAAAAGTGCCCTTTGAAAGGAGCGCGCATCACCTCTGGAGAAATTTAAATGGCAAGTGGGTGCCGCGATTCGTGATTCAATTACAATTGAGGTTTGGCTCACAATCAGAATCACACGGTCTCACAGCGTATAATAAAAAATAGATTTTCTTTCACTTAGGAATCAAAAGCAGAATCGAAATAATGAAAATAATCTTAAAAAAATTCTAGCTCTACGACAGGAAAAATATAACGATTTTATCTTAATAAAATTCCAAAACAACAATAAAAAAGATTTTTTTTTAAATTTATCAAAGGAAAAAAGATCACAAGAAAAGAATACAAAATTATCTTTAATTTTATTCGCTATAATACAAGTTTTAACCGGTTTTAACGTTCTTTATTTAAATTTTTTCATTGATAGTGAAAATGTATAAAAATTGTATGCATTATTTGGTTTATTATTTCTAATTAAATATTTTTCTAATTGTTCATTTTTTGCATTTTTATTGTTTTATAATTATCTGACCCATAATTATTTTCAATAATTCAGGGCAATCAACAAGCTTGACAAGTTCTCAATAAAAATTTCGGACAAATAAACAATAATAACATGTAAAATATATAAAAGTAAATTAAATTTGTGACCCAATTGAATTTCGAGTCATGGTTGTGCGATTAAAATTGACGGAGCCTTATATAAAGCTGCTGTGTGAACGAGACATTTCTGAATCAGCGTCGTGAGATCGTGAGGATAAAAAGATTCCACTCTGATCTCATCTCATTGCTACGATTTATTTTTTTTTCATCGAGGAGCCGCTATAGAGAATAGAAAGTGATTTGGCACGGGAGTAAAGAACTTTCAACCTTATATTCACAGTGCAGTGAGAAAGCCAAATTAATTCGCTCGCTTTCCACTTCCCAGCGGCCAACGAGAGCGCGGCTCCACTTCATTGTTTCCGTGCTCCACACGTCCAACCGTGAAACTGCCTTCGTAATCTGACATAAGAAAAGCCTCGTTTGATATACCGACTGGGACTTTTGCATAATTGCGGAAACAGTTGTTAAATGTTCATTTAGTACAAATCATGTGTAATTCTTTTATTTAGCAATTCAATTTATAACTCAATTGTTTTATTTTTGTTACTGGAAGAAAAAGATTGAACAATTTGACGAGACAAAGGCTAGACTGGAAGTAGATTTCGTAATCACAATAGGCCAAGGATTATAGAAAGAGATAATCCGCTGTAATCGTGATAATGAAAATTTCGTCTGTGAACAATGAAATTGCCGGAGTTTGTCACACGTGAATTGTTCTTCACGATCCTTCTCATTCAATTTACTGGGTGAGCGTAAATCAGGCAGAGCCAAAGATCAATTTTTTCCGTTTTGTAATCGTGAAATAATGAAGCATGACTATTTTCATCATCACGATCAAAATTTACATGAAAATATGTTGGTGAAATTTTTAGAAAATTTCTTTTTAGTTCTTATTTTTTCAACAAATAATTTTTTCAAAAATATTCTGACAATTATATAATTTGGATATTTTTTTTTACAAATTTAATTTTAATTTTGGTCAGATTATAGGAACGTGTGTTTTGAGCGAACTTTCTTAGTGGAGGTCGAGAGAAGACTGAATTATTTTTCGTTTTCAAATTGAAAAAATTATTTTTGTAAAAACAATTGTAACCAAAAACAATTTTACTAAAAGAAAAAAATTATTATTTTGATGACAAAACTTGCTAAAATTAATTTTTGTGATAATTTTTGTCAAAAAAATTTCACAACTCAAGAATTATGGCAGCCAAAACTTGAAGAGTAGGATATTGTTTTTCTAAAACAATAAAAAACTCACAAAACTCATTAAATAAAAATGAAAATGATTTAAAAATAATTTTCTATTTATCTACATAATATATGATTTTCTAAAAGAAAAAGAGCTGCATTAGTATCAGCAGTCCATGACCAGCACTTTTCTCTCTCTCACAAACCCACTTTATCCGACTGACACGTCCGCGTCATTTTATTGCGATCGCCGCTATAACGCGTGCCAGTTTCTTTGTTGTAAAAACACGAGCAAAATTACTACCGTTCATACCTGTAAACGCTCTCGTCGTAGTACAAAAGTATCCTCAGAGGCTGGTCCAGACTTCTTTTCCTAATTATGTGACTCTCCTCCAAGTGCACTCCACGAACAACCTGCAAAAACGCCCAAATGTTGTATTTAGTTTTTCATAATTCACTAATAATTATTACAAGCAGTTTTCGTAATTTGATGAATTTTTATTACAAAACAAAATTTATTGAGAATTGCAATGGTCTTTGAGAAGAAAAAATTGGAAAGCTAATGTAAACAAAATGACAAAGGAGTATAAAAATAGTGTCCTCTTTTTGACCACTGCGCGGTGTTTGGAAAAAAACGGAAGTGGAGCACGAGTAGAAATCAACAAGCAAAACAGATGCAAAAGCTAGTCTACGTTAATTTTAGGATGTTTTGTTATTTTAATATATCTTAATTGAAAATAGATAATTAAACGGAATTTTATTGTAAAAAAATGTTTTTATCAAAAAACAAAACGGCTCTACCAGTTTCAGTCACAATCTGCGACCCTATTTAATGAGAAAGAAAAATACAATTTATTAGTTTTAATTTTGAGTGTTTTGCTATATAAAAAGTGTAGTTTTTAAATTTTCTGATTTTATTTTTTTTATTTTTCTTGCTTACGAAATAGCTAACCGTGACCGAAACTGGTAGAGCCGTTTTGTTTTTTAATAAAAACAATTTTTTTACAACGAGACAAAGGCCCGAGTTTTTCACTTCCATGATCAAGTGTCAATTTCTTCCAACAAACAAATAAATAATTAATTCAATTTTATGAAAAAAATTAGAATATTGATTTAAGTAATGTTACAGAATTAATTGAGTCCTAAACTATAAATAATTCAGCACTAAAATAATGTGATAATTTTGAGAAAAATTATGATATTAAAAAAAGCACAGCCAAGATTTTACTCGCTGCAGTCATTCGTAAATAGGGTTAATAGCAAAAATTGACTAGCCAACGGGCAAATCTCTCCTGCGGGCCAAAAACTGTATATTTCGCCTGAATATTCACAAAGTGTATTAATCAGCGCGGCATTCAGAGCGCGTCAGCTGCAAAACGTGATGAGTCGGACAGAAGCAGAAAAAATTTGAGCATTTTTATTTTTATTGAGTGTGCACTCGAGCATTTCAACGCAGGATTAACTTTTGGGCCCGCAAGAATTTCTTGTGAATTGGAAAGTTCGGAGACGTTTCTTCTTCACCTTTGCGATTTGGGAAGCAAAATGTCACCGCAAAGTTGTAATTTATCGCGATTTAAAGACACACACTGCCTTGCCAGCTGATCGCCCACGAAACTCGAAACTGGGAGAAAGTGCAGTTATACTTTGGAGTTGCCAGCAGGGTGACTTGAGTTAATGCATTTGAATTTTTCATGAGCGCCACAAAGAAGGTGAGAGAGTACTTTCAAAAATTATCAAAAGTTGTTCGGAAAATTGTAATCAATAACAATTCAATCACGCATTTGATTTATATTTTATAGAAAAAATAAATTAAACCCAATTAAAAAGTATTTAAGGAAAAGGAAAATATTTAAAATGTAAACCAAAGAAGAAGAAAACACTTTTTTTTAACAATAGATGTGGAATAATTTCTAGACTTGGCTTTTTCACAAGATTAAAAAAAATTGCCAAAAAACAATGGATCGCTCTTTCTTCTTTTGTCCTATTCCACTTATTGTCGCATTATGTGCAAGAAGAAATAATAATGGAAGCTGAGAATTAAACAATATTTTTTTTTTTCAAAAATATATTTTATTTTTTTAAATTCGTAAATCTGGAGTTTTTCTAATTATTCTGATATCTTATAATGAAAGAAGTAAGTTTTTTGCAGTTTATTTGATTTTGATTTAAGCTAATTTATGCATTTTACGGTATAAAACTTTTGCAAAACAAGTCAAAAAGAAAGAAATTATGCTAATTATGTTAAACGATCATTTCCTCAGAAATTGGCTGGAAGTGTAATATAATTAATAAATAAATATCTTTAAAAAAATCACCTTTTTAAAATATTCAATAACATGACGTGATTGATAATAACAATTTTAATATTACAAATTTAGCTTTAAGAGCTACGGCTAAATTCAGCACCTGAATAATATTTTTCTCAATAATTTTGCTCATAATTTTCATAATTAAAATTTTCAGGTTTATATTGCTTTTCATAAGTAGCCATAATTATGGAGTGAATCTTGCAAAAACGTCTAAATTGATGTAAATAACGTTTGTGCCAGAAAATATTGCAGCAGTTAATTAGTCTGTGGCACACGCCAATTATCTCGAGCCAATCAAATACGTCCTTGCATGCAGTAAATTGATCTAGGCTTTACAAAGTAAGAAGTTTTTAGATGAGAAAAATAAATAAAATACTAAAAAAGTTGTTAAAAATTAAAATGATCAAAAATACATACAACCAAATGCTATTATGTAAAACGTTAAAAAATAATTATTATTTTTAGCATGTTACATACACAATTACATAGCTGTGGCCTTCAGATTTTAATTGGATACTTTGCAAGATTTAAATTCAAATAAATGTAATAATTAGATATAGGATTATATTTCTCACCTCTTCGTCTTTGGGGGGCACATGACTGCACGTTCTGTGTTCAAATAATGCAATTGCCGAGCCGTAGAAGAAAATCTGCATTGCCAGGAAAGTCGCTGACACCTTCCACCTGACTTTCGCAGCCATTCCTTCACCGAATACCGCCGACGGACGGCCGAATTCGTCGAAGGAAACCGCAGCTAGGGTACCTGGTGCACTTGCAAAAGTTTCTACAAAGCCGCACGGGTGCCGGAACACCTTGGGGCGAGCAGAAACAAGTAGTTGTTGTTGTTGACTGTCAAAACCATTCGACTAACTTTGTGAGCCAAAGATGAGGAGGGCGTAGCACTGCCGCAGACCGGGAGCGAGGGCCAATCAAAGACGAGCAAAGACAATGCAACCAATCAGCGATCGCGAGAAAGCCCAGCTCGACCAATCAGATTGTTTTCGTTGTCGCGAAGTTCGGCGCGTTTTTCAAATTATCTGAAGGTGTTTGGGAAAAGTGGGCGCTGGCGCTCCCCTGTCGTTGCCCTAGTCCCTTCTCCGTCCGGCCGACCAACCAGCATGCACGACACGCATTTTTGAACGTCCCGAGAGGTGATAGACCTCTCCGCGAAGGTCCCCCGCTTGCGTCAGGGTCGATATCACCGATACGCACCTATCCCATTTCTTGAAGCTCAGGTATGCGTGTGTTTCTGTGTATGTACATACAAACATAACAGAAACGACGTTCCAAGTCACCTACCGAACCAAATCCGTGAAGGTGTTTATGCATTTGCAGGAGCCGCCTAAATTTGTCTGCGTGGCCGCTGAGGAGTCTTTTGCCTGAACTACGGTGGAATGGACAGGATTGAAGATAACGTGAAGAGACTCCTGAATGGGGATGCCCTGAAGGAGTCGCAGGAGTTTTGTGACTTCACCCTCGAGGCGCAAAATGAAGCGACAGGTACGGATTTTTAAAAATATTTAATTTCATCTTTTTTTGTCCAGTTCCCTTTTAAAATTTAAAGTCAACCAATTCGAATGTGTTCCATATAAATGAAGTTCAATAATGTTTTTCTATTTTTTCTAGTTGCCAAGGGCGTAGCTCCAGCCGCTCCCTCCGACTACATTCCACAATTGAACAAAAATGTTTGCTACATCGTTGCTGCTGTACTGATTAACGATTCTGGAGAAGTGCTAATGATGCAGGAAGCTAAAAGATCTTGTGCCGGACAGTGGTACCTGCCAGCCGGACATATCGAAGCTGGCGAGACAATTCAACAGGCTGTTGAAAGAGAGGCATGACATTAATATTATTATTGTTTTTTACTGTAGAGGAAGTTAAATGATTTAAAGTTATCTTTTAATTTCAAAACTTTTGTCTCAAAATCAGTAATCGCTTTATATTCGCAACCTAGCCTGAAACAAATTAAATGTTTAGAATTCCTTATTACCTGAAACTAATTACTTTTTTTAATTCAGGTTTTGGAGGAGACAGGATTAACAATGCAAAGCACCACTTTAATAATGGTTCAGTCTGCGGAGGGATGTTGGGTCAGGTTCGTTTTCACTGGCAATGCAGCAGGTATTTTGATCCAACAGCAAAAAGCTCAACATTAACTTTCTAATCTATTTAAATTCAGGACGTTTAAAGACACCTGCTGAGGCGGATTCTGAATCGTTGCAAGCCAAGTGGATTTCGGACATCAACGAGTTGAGTCTTCGCGCATCCGACGTGGAGCCTCTTGTAGCTTGCGGACGTCAGTACTGGAGAGCCATAAAAGAAAAACAACAGTGGCATCCTGAGATTTTGCCTGTTGCCAGGCACCATACTAAATTGCTTCTAAGACTGCTAATTTGCGTTCGAAAGAAAGACACGTAAGGATTTAAAAAAGTTTCCCTTTTTTATTCATTGCTCTAATGAACATAAAATTCAGAAATCGAGTTCACATCTTGCTGTCAGAAAAGACAGAAGCGCACATTCCCACTTGTGAAATTAACCCCAGGAGAAGCTTGCATTCTACACTAAAAAAATATATGACGGTAAATTTATCAGAAATCAGTGGTTAGTTAATTTAAAATTTGGTTTTAATCAAACTATTTTACTCTTTCAGGAAATATTTGGAGCAGAGCTTCCGCAGCACAGACCTCATGGTGTTTTGAGTGTGGAGCATTCCCCGACTAGGAATGTTGAGGTGGAAGGTGACGGATTTTGCTTGACTTTGCTCATTTCCATCAGGCAGCCTTTAGAAGAGGTTTGAAACACTCACAAGTCATTTAAATTAAGGAAAGCTAAGATGCATATTGATTTAGGTTGGATTGATAGACAAATACACTTGGCTTGAGGTCAACCCTAACCTGGAGGAACTCATACTTCCTAGGATGGCAAAAAACATGACTACAATTTTGCATGTCATTCGGTAGAGGATTTGTTGATTACTCCAATTTATTATTATCAAGAAAAGCTAAATACTCAAATTTTATATTAAAAAATTGTTATACAGTTGTTGCATATTGGTTAAATTTTATTGTTATATAAAACTATACTGCAAGGATGCAGAGATGGCCAAGATTAAACAATAGGAAAATACTATAGCCTCAAGCTGATAATATTGTAATCGCAATGAAGGGAATTCTAAGCTTTCTGAATATTATGCCATTACATATAAATAAAATGTTTAAAATTATAAAACATTTTGATTATAATTTCATTTTAACCTTAATAAGTAAATAAAAATTTCAAATAACAAGATAATGATAAAAGATCTGAACAGGATACCAAAATTTAAGAAAGGTGGCGTGCAGAAAAATCCAGAACCGAATTCATTGTTTTATTATATCCTTTATTTTAAAGCACAAGATAGAGAAGATAATAACGCTACTGAAAAAGATTTTACATTACGGCTAAATTAGTTGATCTCCGCATCGAAGTGTACATATGCATCTATCCTCACTTTCAAAAATAATCATTGATGCCTATTGAGAGAAAATTTCACTATGCATATTTCACCAATTCTCCTTCCATATTGGATCATTCATGCATGCAAGATAATTAAATAATACAATTAGTTGTTTTTGCTTGAGAGAGGCAGACAAACGAAAAGCATAATCGAAATCTGACGAGCAAGAGTGACTTAATCTTATGCAGGGAAATTATTTTTCCCAAGGCATTTCTTTACATCAGGAAATTATGTTTTCAATGATATTTCAAGCTGCAGGTTTTAGGAATTGCATGCTTATGGATTTGGGATTAATCATAAAAATTTTGGCGGAAATAATTTTTGTTTACTCTTGAATAAATAAATAATAATTTTCAAAATAACTTGAGCGCAAGAGCAATTTGTCCAGCTCTCACAAGATAATTTGCAGAATAACTACTTAAATGGGGGGAATATTATTTACCGCTATTGAAAACCACCGATGCCAGCAGTGCCACTAGTCCACATGTGCAAAAATACATACAAGCTTAAACAAAGTTACCCTGGCATTCAATTAATTGAGTAAATCATTGCAGTGGAAGTTCAAACTGAAACAGTAGAGGGGATCGTCTGGCATATAGTAATGCGCAAAAGGCATTGATTTTTGCATCAAGAAGTGAAATAAAGTAAAAACTTCACAGTGTGCCAGTCCCACTAACTGTCCATAGCATATCTGCGTGTCCACTCCTTGGCATTCCTGATAGCTTCAGCCTCATTGACTTTCCACAGCTCGGCAACATCATTTGCAAGGGGGTCGTCCGGATTTGGCGCGCTCAGCAAAGCCTGGATGGACAACAACACCGTCCTGATCTGCAGGGCGGGACTCCACTTGTCTTTGAGAATGTCCAGGCAGATGCGGCCAAGTCGGTCAATGTTGGGGTGGTAGATCTTTGTAATGAAGCGAACTTTAGGGGCAGACATTGGGTAGTCTTCCGGCAGGAAGAGTTCCAGCTTGAAAAGGCCACCCTCAAAGGGAGAGTCTTCTGGCCCGGTCACTATAACGTGAAAGTAGCGAGCATTGCTTTCATCTGGCACAGCACTGATCCCGGGCACGGGCTCCTGCATGAGCCGCTGCGTTTCCTTGATGATGCGACGAGGCAAGGAACACATAGTCGCAGCGTGTTTTTGACGATGGCCTGCAACGAGAATCACACATCAATGCGGGGGTCAATGAAATGCATAGCAGGGTGCGTCGCCGATCTGGGGGTGCAGCTTACGTGTATAAGTCTAAAACCAATTAAATGGTTGTGTGCAGATTCTTGTGGGGTGTGATTTTAACGAGATTGCGGCGGAACAAGAGAGCCAGAGGATGTAATATGAACGCTCGCTGACAGGCTGACTTTAGCTTATTCGTCTTGTCGGCTCACGACTGCAACTCTCGGTCACCGGTCTGAAATTGAGGAGGAATTAGCGATTTACGAACACACTCTCTCAGACCGTCGTTGCCTTATTTCAGTGCAATGAGCTCAGCAAACTACAAATTCGGACCAGAATGCTTTTAAAAAGTGACGAATTTCCAGAAAGATTTGGAGAAATTTAACAAAGGGTGGGTGGCCAAAAGCTCCTTGCAGGCGGTCTCAAAAAGGAGTCACATACAAAAAGTAAGACACCATACTTTTCTTCCAGACTATTTTCACAAAATGTAAAAAAGTATGAAATACAAAAAAAAAATATTAAATTTGTTCATTATCTTACTTTTTCCTTCAGAATAAATACTTTCATTGCACAAAAATCTCAGATCGTTTTAACTCCTTTGTGTACAAAATCCATTCCCCTTCTGCGTTTCACCGGTTTCCCCTCTCCCCGTTGGACAACTAGCGCCAAACTTGCGTACAAACAACGCACAAAGAAGGAGGCGTGGCTGTTTTTTGTTGGTAAACCTGAAGTAGCTGGCAAAATGTTTTCTTCTCAAAATTAAAGCTCTGAAACCGTCTGAAACTTCGCCGGTTTCTCTGCGTTTTTTGATCGCTTTTAAAAAACATACTGTTTTAATCGGAATTCTTCGAGTGAGGAGTTCAGCGACATGTAAGTGCCGACCAATGGGCCCTAAATTTGTTTTGAAAAGCTCTTTTCTTTTAGGTCCGCTGACGGCGAAAACGTTGTTTCGTCAACGGTCGGTGTACGTCCACGATGCTTCATGGATATCTGCATCGCTGGCCTGGACACAGGCCGAATTGTCTTTGAGCTGTTCTCGGATCGATGTCCACGAACGGTGGAAAATTTTCGCAGTTTGTGCACAGGCGAAAAAGGCATTGGCAGCTTGGGCAAGCCGATGCAATATGAAGGCACCATTTTCCACAGGGTCATCAAGGATTTTGTCGTGCAGGGTGGCGATTTCACCGAGGGTGATGGCTCTGGTGGCGAGTCGATTTACGGTGGCACTTTCGAAGGTATGAAACGCACTTTGATTGGACAATTTCAGTATTTATATTAAAATGATCCTCCAAAATCAGACGAGGATTTGACGGGAAAACATGACAGGAAGTACTTGGTGAGCATGGCCAACAGAGGAAGAAACACCAATGGCTCCCAGTTTTTCATGTAAGCTTCATTAAGATTATTTTGTACATAACGATCTTATCATTAAACCAAATCATAGATTAACAGGACCGGCACCACATTTAGATGGTATTCATACAATCTTCGGTCATGTTGTATCTGGTCATGAAGTGATTGAGAAAATCAATAATCTGCCGGTTGACAACATATTCAGACCGTTGCAAGACATCAAGGTTACCAAAAGCGGCGAGTTGATACTCAGACCAAAAAAGAAGAAAGAGAAGAAGGTCAGCAGCAGCAGCAGTGAAAGCAGCGATTCTGAGAAGGAGACTGTCAGTAAGAAGAAAAAGAAAGAAAGACGCAAGAGGTGTGTGATCAATTATAATTTGTAAGAAATGGCACTCATTTTGACTTCCGCAGTGCAAGGAGTGATCCTGAGGAAGATTCTGCATTCAGAGATGAGGCAGGTGTACCCCACCCCTTGGTCACCACCTTCAACATAAAGAAGGATGAAATTCCGAGCGTGCCATCCAACAGATTTCTGTCGCGTCTTGTCGGCCGCAATCCGGAAGTGAAAACAAACATGGAAAGCAAGGCCACAAACATACGAGGTCGCACTAAAAGCGGCAGGACAGTCAAGGGAAGAGGCAATTTGGTAATCAGGTTTTTATTTAAATTTGTTTTTATCTAAAGAATATAACTTTTAGCGCTACCGTACTCCATCACGCTCAAGATCTAGAAGTGTCACTCCTCCTCACTGGCGTCAGGAACAAAGCAAAAAGATTTCTTACAAGAAATTTGAGGTTTGGCTTTAAAAGTTTTTTTCATTTTAAAAGTCATCACAATGATTATTTTTGATATTAGGAAATCGAGAAAATCAAGAAGCAGCGTGAAGATGAAATACGCAGACGAGAAGAAGAAAGGCGTAAACGTCACGCTGAAAAGGATAAAAGACCGCCTTTGCAAACTCAAAATCAAGTGTAAGGACTCATTTCAGCTTTAATAAATTTGTAGTCTAATTGCAACATAAATAATTTACTATTTAGGCCTGAAAAGAAATCATTTGACGATGAGAAGGAAGAAGGAGAGTTGCGCGAAGATGATGAGAAAAAAGATTCGCAAAGGAGCAGGAATAAGTCGGAGAGGAAGCTCTCTGGTGACAAAAAGAGCTATCGGGCTCGTAGGTCACGGTCGCCTAAACGCAAAAGATCCCCAAACCGCAAGAAGCCGTCTCCACCAAGGCGTCGCAAGCGATCTTCTTCATCCAGTTCCAGTTCATCGTCATCATCATCCGACTCTTCTGTCGATCGTAGACGTAAGAGGAAGTGAAAATTTTCCACAACATTTGTTCCACTAGAAGTAAAAAGCCGCTTCATAACATAATTTCACTTTACATTGTTAGATTTCAAGGTTCATGTATTTGTAAAATTAATCTATTGTGTATGTACATGACTGTATGTAAATGAATTATGGATGCTGAGTAAATTCAAGTAAATTTATGAAAGATACCAATGAAAAATACCTTTTTTCAATTGAAAAAAAAAATATAAATGTAATAATTAATTATCGAGAAAACTCTAGTGAGGCAACGCGTCAGAATATTAGCTACAAATTATTTTTTAATTAATAGATATCATGTGTTGGATTATGAATGTGTTGGATTTTAATATTATTTTTTTTTTACATTTGAATTTGCCGCTAAATGCATCATCAATTCATTCAATTCGATTTGGCAACGTTTTTGATGACGTCACATTTCAACGCCATCTTTAATTATCAGAACGAGGAAAAGAAGCATCCATCTTACTTCGCTCCACATTTTCTTCGATTCTCTGCAGAAATTCTTCTTCCTGGTTGTCCCATTGTCCGATGGATTTGTAGATCGACCATTCGCCTGGACAATGACGACGACGGTGGTCGAATTGAACGGCTCTACGCCCATGATGGGCGCACCGCAGTCCGGCGCTCAGCAACAACAGCAGCCGCCAATCTATGGCAAAATTTCCCTGCAACTCACCAACTGCCTTTTGCCAGAGGAAAAGCTTTCGCCAACACCGTCCGAGCAAGATGGCCTGGACAAAGAGGTTGAAATCGACCTGCGAATCCTGGGCTGCGAACTCATCCAGACCGCAGGAATGCTGCTGAAACTTCCACAGGTACATATGAAATTTTGCAATCATTTACATCATAACTTCCTTGCTCAATATTGAAAGTCTAGATCTGAAATAACCGTCATTTTTCAGGTCGCGATGGCCACGGCGCAGGTTTTGTTTCAGCGCTTTTACTACTCCAAATCGTTTGTGCGCCATCCTATGGAGATTTTTGCCATGGGCTGCCTCTGCCTGGCGTCCAAAATTGAGGAGGCGCCTCGAAGGGTGCGAGACGTCATCAACGTATTCAGCCACATAAAACAAGTCGACGCTGGAAAGTAAGTTATTGCTCAAATTCAGTCCCACTTGGAGAGTTATCGGATCACGGCCGTCTGGAAATCTTTCAAGTTGAAAATTATTTTGGTCTTGATCCAGCAGGCCAGTGACCTATAGCTCTCCTGCTTGACCTATTATTGTGACTTAAGAAACTTAATTGTCTACATCATAGTTTTGCTGTTATCAAATCAAAGTTTGGACTCGATAAAGCTAAAGGTCTTAAAATTTTGACACAATTTAAGTAATGTGGTAAGGAGGAGTACTCCAGTTCATGACTGACTTCTTTTATTATATATTTTATATCATCTTCTTTTTCTACTAATAACCAAATCTTCTCGCAATTTTAGCTCCCCAACACAGAATCCTTGCCAGAGATGGTCGTGCCATTGTCTGTTCATGAAATCAGAGAGAGAAGCGAAAACTCTAATTTGGCACCTCCAACTCTGACAAGCCCTCAAATTGAAAGCTCTCATAGAATTCTTGCTCAAAGCCGTTTTACTTACTCTCCACAGATGGCCCCTCTATTGAATGTGAAAGGTCGTGGGCCACGAGCCCCACCTGCCAAGCACCATCAGATTCTGTGTGTGTGTCCTCCCAGACCACCACCAACAAACAGCAACCACACATTCAGTGGGTGGGTGTTTAGCCTCCTCCTCTCACCGCTCACCACTAGCGTGTGAAGGTGCAGCCGCCCGCATTTCACGGTTCGGTCCCCCGAGCCCCTTAACCTTCCTACAATCACTACAACCAAAAGAACCGTATGTTAAGAGTTGCTCAAGGTAAAATCGACTGCCGCAGTTGCTTTCTTAAGGGAAAATGGCTGCGGTCGGTCCATTGGTTGGTCACTTTCTACTCATTTCTGATTGTTATAAGCGTGCATTACGAGGCTGGCAAAGTGCGTCCCACTGCGGTGAGTAATTTAGAAGGAGATGATGGACCCTGAAACGTCCCCGAGGCATTGTGGAAGCTTATGTGTATAAATCAGTGTATAAAACAAAGCAATGGCAATTTATTGTGTTATATTTTATCTCAAAAAATAATTTCAAATGTTAAAAAAAAATCACAAACTATGTACAGTAAAAGCAAAGTCAAATTAGTCTTTTATTATTGTAGGCAGGCGTTTTATTTTTCAAAGTGCCAGATAAAATGGTGGTATTATTGTAGAAGAGAGTTGTTCTTGCTTTTATTGTAACATGAGTATTTTGTGATTCTGCCATGTCTTAACTCTGATCAGTAAATGAGGAATTTCTCCTTAAAAAAATCATAAAAAAAATCCTAGTCCTTTTTTTAGACTGCAAAATTATCTAAATTTCGTGTTTTCTCACTGTATCTTGTGGTTCGGGATCTGTATGAAACCTTTTAATGATAAACGATTTTTCAAATTTTTTTTAACAATGATTTTCGACATTTATCTAAATGTAATTTTCACGAAGATCAGGTTTTAATTTAATAGTAGTAAAATAACAAGCACTTCTTTAAAGTTAATGCCAGCCTCATTCCGCAGCCCTAAATTTTGGTTGTAGTGACCTCCCATCCCCTGCCCCGTCCAACCCAAAAACGGTATTTTGCTTCGAGACAGTCGGCTTGCTAATGCCAGTCTGAGCTTCGTTTCAGATCCTATTATAGGCAGGCAGGCTCGGCCAACAAAGATGGACATAGAGTGGTGCTTTGGTTAGAGTGATTTTTTGGTCGAGGAGCGCACAGCGGAGCACCGGCTGAAGACACTTCTTCTTTTGCCGCTTGAATTCTATAAGCAAAATGGGCTTTTGTTTGAGGGATTAAAAGAGGGGTGGCTTTTTTTCATTTAGGTCTCGATAGGTTTTAAGAACTGCAAAAGTGTCAGGGGTGGGTGTTTGACCCTAAATCTGTTTGTTGCAGACCCATTGCGCCAGTGGTGCTGGACCAGATCTACAGCAATTTGAAAATTCAAGTTATTAAGGCTGAGAGGAGGGTTTTGAAGGAACTTGGTTTTTGCGTTCATGTCAAACATCCTCATAAGGTAAGTCCGATTTTTTAAACTAAGTTCTGTACTTACAGTTTTTGTTTTTCACAGATTATTGTGATAAATCTTCAGATGCTGGGATTTGAGAAGAATGAGGAATTCATGCAGTATTCTTGGTAATTGATTTTTCATCGCCAAATTTTCACTGTCTAAATTGATTTCTCCAACAGGAACTACATGAATGATTCATTGAGGACTAACGTTTTTGTGCGTTACGACCCAGAGGCAATAGCCTGCGCCTGCATATACTTGTCAGCCAGGAAGCTGAAAATTCCTATGAGCAAAGACCCACCATGGTATGGTATATTCGGTGTCAAGGAGGATGACTTGCTCGACATTTGCTACTCAATTTTGAGGCTCTACAGACGACCAAAGGTTTGTTGTTGTTTTTTATTTGTCTTAAATAATTCTACATAATCTTTTTCCAGGCTATTCCAGACCAGCTGGAGAAAATCGTTTTGGACCTTCAAACAAAATACCAGGAGACCAGGAACAGAGCACGCCAGGCCGGTCTGCTCAACTCCGCCAACAACACTCCAGCTCAAAACAGCTTAAGTCCGTCGACGCCCGCAATAAAGAAGCCACTGCCTGAGGTTTCTCCGAGGTACATCCAACACACCAGCAGGAGAAATTTTCTTCATTTTGATTGGCTTATCTCTAGGTCGAAGGAAACACGCAGGAGCGAGTCTCCGAGTCCTCACAAACACAAGTCAAAGAGCAACAAAAAACACAGGCATAGCTCGACCTCCCCATCAAGGTCGCGATCGCGTTCCAGAGACCGCAATCGTAAGAAGCTGAAAAGCCGGAACAGAAGCCTTTCCCCGGCATCGCCCACATCCCAGGATTACAAGAGAAGCCATAAGACAAGGTTGGTTACAAATAAATTTGAAGTTTGAATTTTTCTCTAAAATTTTACTTCATCTTCAGGGACAAGCAACGGTACAGGTCACGATCTCGCTCAAGGGACCGCCGTGACAGGTCTCGGTCGCGCTCTTACGACCGATACAAGCATCATGACAAGAGTAAAAAGCACAAGTACAGGGATGAGGGAAGCCGCAAACGCAAGGAGATAAGGCGGTAGGTGAAACTGGTTTTCATCTAATTTGTTTAGAAGAGGATAATGCCAAACATTGGCAATACGAAACTTGATTATTTTTTATCGAAAAGAAGTATTTTAAATAAATAATGAAATGCAAAGAGAAAAAACCTCAGAAAACTTTTAACGTCTTAAAAATTCTGTGACTGGATTGTATAATAAACATCGTGTGAATCGGGTGTGAATTATATCTAAATTGATTAAAAATAAGTTGACCACAGTTGATGAGTTTATTTTCGCTCACTTACAATTAATTCTTATTAGTTAAAAGTGATTGCACTTAAGGAAAATTATAATTTTTTTACTTGGTGTACATTTAAAATTAAAGTAATTTTTCTTGAAATCAAATTAAGATTGGAAGACTAGATATTTCTTTTGCATGCTGGATTATGATGATCCAAGTGGTGGCAAACTGTACGGAATGTACTCGGGGCAGTGCAGTGATCCAGCATGTCCGAGGAGTGAAGGACCTGGTGGCCCAGAGGCGGACGAGACACTATCTGAGCCGGTCGTTTTACCAGCCAGTAGCTCAGCCATGAACGAGATGTATGTTATGGCGAGTCGGAGAGTTTCAATGCGAGAAAGACGTTTCTCGTATGCAAACGTCGGAACCTTTCGGCGCAGTTTGTCGAACGCTTCGTTCAGGTTAAACATGCGTCGCCTCTCGCGGATATTGGCAGCTCGACGTTGTGCCATCGTGGCCACGCGCCGTCGCGTTTTTTTGGACGAGTGAGAGTTGCCACCTGGGTTTGATGACGCTGAGGGATTTGACGAACTTGAACCACCGCACGAGCGACCACCGTATCTGAAAATTAAATAAGCAAAATCGCATATTTATTTTAAATTCATTAGTAATCTAATATAAAATAATGAAATCTTTAAACTCAAGTAGTAAAATGCGATAAAATAAATAAGGCTAAACTGAGGCTAAATAAGAATGAGAATAAAAAGTGACTATAGGAAACATGAAAGATGACTAAAGTGAGATTCTCTGCGCTGGACGTGATATTTTTCACCATTGAAAACTTCTATTTAGTTGTCTGTTTGAAATTTTTAAATTATTCATTCTCCATGATTAGAATAGTATGTGGAAAAATAATACTCAGGATCAAAAGAAAAGTTGATAATAATTAAAAAAATAAGAAGAACAAGAGACGTGTGGAGAGACCGTTTATTTAAAATTATTTTACTTATACAAAATCAAACAAATACTTTTTTGAGACATTTTTAAAAAATTAATTTTTCAATGAAAAGTCAAAATTTTGGTTTGTATATTTCATTCTTTAAAGCCAAGTGTTTCTCGCACAGTTTCAGTAAATCCAAGGAAAAACCTCTTAAAAAAAAATATTAATGAGTTTGACTTTTTTTGCTCATCCAAAGACCCAATTGTCAAAATCTGTCTTTTTTACTGCCGTCTCCCTTTTACTTTTTTCTCTTTTTAAACCACAATGATGGGAATCACAAATTTCTCTGCTAAAACATTTTTTTTTTTTAAAATTCTGAAGATACTAAAAATTTGCAATTAAAATTATATGTTATCATATCATTAAATCCATTACAAAGGTCGATATAAGGCTCACTTAAAATATTTTCAGCAGTTCAAAGAGAAACAAGATTTTTGGGGATGAAATAGCGCAAAAATCCTGAATGTTGTACTGCGCATTATCATGAGAAAATAGAAATAACTCGGAAGCAAAAAATGATTTAAATTATTGAAGATTATTAATTTTGGTGTATTGTATATAAAGACTTACCTTGGTGGCGGAGGGGGGTTCACTGCTCGACCCCAAATGTCGCAAGGTAGGCCGTGCAGTCCGGGGTGCGGGGGTTGATGGTGAAATTGGTGGTGAGGGTGCGCCATTTGTAGCGAGTCGCCCCAAACGCTACTCCCATACGGAGGCGGGTTGCTTCCTTTTTCGAAACAAAATATATTTAAAAATGAATTCAAAATAATTTTGAAAGGTTCTATTTTCTTACCTGAGGGGGTCGAGTTGGCGGCGTCGCCAGGCGCAGAAATCGCCGCCGCGGCAGCCGCAGCGGCCGCGACAGCGCCGTGGTAAGCGAGCTGCTCGGCGTAATTTAGCTCGGAATTGAGTTCCCAAAGCGAGTCGGCGGCCGCTTGCTGAACGACGCCTGACATTTCAGTATTTTTGGAATGGCCCTGTTGAAAAATTATTTATTTGCATCAATAAAAATGTTTTATAGATACACAAATTTTAAAATTTCCCTTCAAATCGAAATTCAAACAAAAATTAAATGCGAAAGTTATACTTAAAAAAAGTGTTGTATTTATTGTAAATTTACCATTGCTAGTGGATTATAATTTTTAATAATTAAGACCCAAACACAGACTTAATCTGTGCACCCAAATTGTTCTTATTGTTTTACTTAGATTGTATCACCTTCCCTATTTTCTATACCTAAATTTATTCTTAAAAGTTAATTTGAAAAGGAATTAAATGGTTGTCTGCAAATGGAGTGCAAGAAGCATTATTCAAAACAACGTTCCAAAAGCCATAATGACATAAAGTTGTGCATTCAAAATAATGAGTTGATTTTTTTCATTTTAACTCTGATTTTTTTCACTTCACTCTGATTGAACATTTAATTTTAAATGTGAATAAGTGAGGAAAAATTCATCTGTTGAGTGTGACACATTCAAATTCTCATCTTTTATCCTTCTTGAAGTCATATATAAAATACTAATATATGACTTTGATTTCCTTTCAATTATTATTTTCATTAAAAATGTGAATTAAATAAGTAAAATCTTTGTAAGGTGACAAATTAAAGTGAAAATAAGTACATTTTCTTTGTCGTCGGCGTTAATTAATTAGAACAAATTAAAAAATAAAAAACTTTTGAAAAGAATAAAATTCAGTGAGCAAAAATAAATAAAATTAATTATAAAAAACTTACCCTGAAAGAAGGTTTCCTATGCGGCCAAACAAGCTGGAGGCGCAGGTTGATTTGGCAACGGGACAAGTGCGCGCGGCCGAAGACACCCTTGCCGAGCCAGGGGTGTGGCGATTCACAAGGGGTGGCTTTCTCCATTGGAGACAGAGGGTGCCACCCCGGCCAATCACGGCCGCTGCAGGTGTCATCGCCGTGGCCTCGCCGACGGGGTGCGGGCTCGATATTTTTGCAAGGGATGTAATTTTGGCTGTGAATCGTGCAAAATCAATAGTTCAAAATGTTCATTATGGCATTGAAAATATTTAAAATATTATTTAATTAATAAAAAAATTAATAAAACGACCAAGAATATTTTGTTAATAAACAAAATACTGCAAAATAAAAAGCGATAACTGTTATATAGTTATTTAATTGAATTTTTAAAACCTTTTTTAAATCTTTTATAAAATTCAATGAACAATTTTTATTAAAACGTTTTTTTGCTTAATCCATCATCAAAATCCCTCGATGAATTGTGAATGTCGCTTTTAAAGCCTTACTATGCTTATAAGTAAAATTAGTGCAAAAAGAGGTTTTATCGGAGTAAAAAAATTAATTTCCAATTTGTTTTGGTCATTATACATATCATCGTCAGATCCAGAGATTTAATAACTTTGAGTAAATCAATCAAATACTGCGGCGTCGACCCATTATAGTTAAATCAAAATTAGTTCCGCAGATTGGGAAATAAAAGGGCGCGGATTCTGCTCGGTTTCCCCACGTTCGAGCGGAAAATGGAAATGCGCCTCCAAACAAGCTTTGCCCCCGAGAGTCAAAATATTGTTGTATTTAATGCGCTAATCGGCGTGAAAAGGCGCATTGTCGCAGTAGGCATATTGCACGCGAGTGCAGCTGCAGCTGCAGAGAGTGAGACTAGATATTAAATGTCACTCACGAGGGAAAGTAGCTCCTCTCTCTCCTTTTGATCGGCCGCTTCATTTCCATAATTCACTCCGACCGCGTGTAATTAAGTCAAATTCGGCGCGGCCAAAACGACGATCAGACGAGGACCCCTTTTTGACCCAGATTTGCGTTTGCCGACTTATGAGCAGCTGCATCGTTGCAGGTGCAGAATTTTTCCCTCGCAATCAGAATCAATTCACTTGCTGTTTTGTCCGAAACTCTGCTGTATTTTGAGAAAAAATTTCCAAACACTTCTGAAAATCTGTGAAACTTATGTGTGTCTTAATTAAATATGATATTTTTTCATGCCCTTTCATGTTTTCTTTACTGTGTTATTGCAATTCTAATAAAAATTTTAATCTTCTGAATTGTTTACCAGGTTAAATATTATTTTGAAAAATGTTAGTGATGAAGAGTTAATATGAAAAAAGAAAATTTCAGTCATTATCGTCATTAATTTTATTTCTGTTTTAAAAATTAAGAATATAACAGAGTTTTTTAATTATAAATTACGCAAAGTTATATCAAAGTGAATTTTATAAAAATGCACTTGCATTGGTTCCTCTCTTTATTTCTTAATTATTGTAAAGTTTCCGTGTTTATCGGTTATTCCTATTTTTTGTTTCTCTTTTCCACACAAGTAAGTCTTTTTTTAGCAATGCAAATAATTAATAGGATTCGAACAAAATACTTGCAATTTGATCCGCGTGGGAGAATAAAATGATAGGTAATAATCATAAAAATAACAGTATGGGCTCAATTAAAAAAATAATAATTGGCAAAAACAAAGTAATATGTGATTGTCTTGTACGCTTTGTTCTTGCAAAAAAGAAATTAATCATTCTTAATTATGTATTCTTATTGCAAAGTTTCCTACGGTCTTTACCATGCTTTTTTTTCAATCCAAAACGCAAAGCGGGACTTAACATGTAAACAAGCAGGGAGTGCAGATTAAAAAATTAACTTTGTTGCTCTCACGAGAGTCAATTTCAAAGCCGCCGCCGCTTAATAATTTTAATCCGAAGTGCCCACACGCGACTCATATCAACAATGAAGTGCCGCGTCGCTTGTTGGCAAGTGAAAAAAAAAATGGGGAGCATAAATGAAATGATATACATAACGCGCGCTGAATAGAGATTTTCCACTGCGGGAGAATTCGTTCCGAAGAGCGCAGAGAGTGACGAGTTCGCGCCCCCTCAAAGGCTGATTTCACGCGTGACAGTTAGTATAATGAGGGGTTGCATATTGCTCTAATTGAGCCGCCCACCCCAAACAAAATAATATATCAATTTGCTCCGTTTTTATTAAAAATACAAATCTAGTTTAGAGAGACATTGTTTTGTATAATAGATGAAGCCAAAATGTTGATAATCAACATTAACCAAATCACTGGAATGTGAAAATAAAAATGAAAGATAATTACAAATTTGAAATATAAAAGAATTTAAAGTTGTAAAAAACTTTTAGCCTAAAGGTGAACTAAAAAAATAAGTGCAACCAAATCGTAACAAATGATAATTTTTCTAAAACGATTGCAAAATGGAAAAAAATAGAAGACAAAAAGGTCATCTCGATTAAAATTTTCCCATTAAGTAATTTGCACTATGATTAAAATTTTGCTGTTAATCATTTTCGTGCATTCTCTGTGCTTAAAATTGAATTAAAAATATTTAAGAAATTGTTAATTTGATAATAAAAACCAAATAAAAAACTGCAAAAAGTAAAAAATATCCTTCTATGGTATAATAAAGAACGAACGTTTATTTCTCACTCTTTCTCCAACTTATACATCGGGGGTAAAATTTTCATCCCTGATCTACAGATGTGAGTGCCATCTGTGCAGCGGGTTGCCTACCCTCGTCTTGCGGGGGCGTTTAGAGGGTGGTGTGCTCTCGCATTTTGGTTCATGCATTTGTATAACTTGACGTCAACGGCGGCGCGTCCTGCGGATCAATATGCGCCGCGCGCACCAAACAAAGTGCCACGTGACCGCGACAGGCGTGCGCCCTTTGCCTTTCTCGGAGCAGCGCACAGTGGAGAACCGATCGACGCGGAGGTGCTCGCTCTGTTCCTGCTTGCAAGAGATCAACTGCGGGCGGGAGGCTCTGCGGCCTGTACCAGGGAGACTCTCAGCTGCCACAGGTGTCCGCCGGCCAAGCTCCCGAGAAGATCCGGACGTCTGACAGGTGAGCTGCCCTCGACTTTCCCAAAACGCTGCCGTATCAATTTTCCACGAGTTTCCGGCTTTTCGCTGTTTTATGAGATTTCAGTCACTCACACCAGAGAGTGATGATAATGGGGGTTTTGCTTTTACTGCGCGTTCAATAAATCCCAATCCTCAGATAGGAGAGGTTCATTTCTTTCCAACGGAAAAAACAATTATAAAATAAAATACTTGAAAGAAAATAATAACTTTTTGAAAATAAAGAAGAATAATAATTTTACATATTTACAATATTTTTATAATTTTGTGTGATTAAATATTTAATTTTTTAACCTAAAACCTCAATATTTATTTGAAAATCAAATCGCGCTACTCGTCGTGCATAATTTGCAAAAAATTATAGGCAGACAAAGAGCAAAATGATGCACACTGAGGCTGCAGCTCTGTTTCCTATCGCAATGACCTGAATATTTTTTCCACACACAAACACACGCTTCGCAAGTCATGGTCGGATGTCCACGAAACGGTTTAATTTTTTATAAGAACAATAAAATGAATTGTTTTGCGCCTTCTCATGATTTTTTTTAACGTCAAATAAGAATGTCACAAATTATATGAAAGAGAAGTAAATTCATCAATTATTTTATTTATTATTATATTAAAAAGTATTGTGCATTTTTTTAAATAGCAACAAGCAACAAGATAAAGAACTCTCTTAAATTTGAAAAGGATTTTATTTTCCTTTTTTTAAACTAATTAACCCCCATTGTGACGTTTTGAAAGGATATTGAGTTTGGGATTTCGGGGAATGTCAAGAAAGGTGCGCGGCTGCGGCATACGAATTGGAACTATTTGATAAAATTTGCTTTGAATGTCTATTGGAAACTTAAAAAAATACCAGATTGCATAACCGAACCGGCACATTGACAAATGCCCGAAATTCTTTCCGAATCTTGTACAATCACAAAAAATTTTAAATTTGTTAATTTATCAGTTGCTTTCGATTATTTTACAATTACTTTTCTTTTTAGAAAGATACACATTGTTTGGCTAAAAATGAATAGTTAATTAATTTTTTATTTGGTCGGCAAAGTTTCTAAAACGATAATTTAGCAATTCATTTCTCAATAATTCTATCATAAAAAGAGGTTGAAGGAAATTTTCAATGGGTGTAATTGAAGTAAATGCAGGAAATTTTACCATTGTTAGAGGAAATCACTTTCACTTAAATGAAGTGCAATAAAATCCATGCAAGCAGTAAAAACTGCTGAAGCGCGAATTTAGTTTTAAAAAATCGGCGATTGCCCGGCGCGCTGTTCCAAATTAAACAATGCGCCGTCACTTTCCTCTTCCTTCACATTTGTTGCACTCTCGTCGAATTCCGTTTAAATGCAACTCGCAATTTGCTCTGCAGGCTGATTATATAACACACATTCCATTCTCTCTCACGAGTTTCTATAATATTAATGACCTGCAAAAAAAATTACCTTTCTCGACATCGAGCGCTCCTGCAGGATCACGTGCTTTTTTAGTTGCGCCGCTTGCGAATTTTAGCGCCTACTCGATTTCCGTCCTCCCTCTTCAATCGCTCCGCATGTACCACAAATTGGCAAAAAGTTGCTGGTTCCAGACGAGTTTTCACTTAACTTGCCAGACTGTTTTTTTCCAGAAAGTCACGAGCGTGATAAAAATATTAACCAAGTATTGTCCTATCAGTGAGTCTTGACTTTTTTGAATGCTCAAATTTGAGATAAATCGCTAAATTTGAAGACTTTAGTTGAGATTAAATAGCATAAATAATTAAGAAAAGTACATTTTTAATAGCAAAATAAAATGTAAACTGAGAAAATTAATTTCACATTCATGTTTCTCAGAAATGTTTTCTAATTTTTAACTCTACTTCAATAAAAACCCTCATATTCAAAACAACAAGCTAGCAATTCAGGTTTAACAATTTAATATGATTTATTCAAGCAGTAAAATTCTCCTGTAGCGGACAAGCATGTTATATAACACATATGAACGCTTGAAAAAACGATTTGTGGGCCGCTCCTGCAATTATGCTCAGGGCCAGCACAAAAACGTTTTATCTTTTCATGCATAAAAAAATCTGAGCACGCCATTCCAATATACCAGTCTCATATAACAAGGGACCATGATGAATATTTATCCTTACACTCAAGAGCATACAGACGACGGTTTATTAGTTGAGCTTTAACACCAGATTATTATTTACTTTTCTAAAATTATCAACTCTAGCATGTCGTAGGGCCATTGTTATTATTTGCTTGAATATCAAATAAAATGTTATATATTTGTTTAAAACAAATATCTGATGCATATTGCAAGCAGTGCAAGTTGATTTGAAAGTTATATAATTCAATACTATAATAATAAGCTTAGCGTTTTTATTTTGTAAAAATTTTAATTTTTCAAAATCACATTATATTATAATGTTATCAAATTGGAATTAATAATTTGAGGAAACAAACATAAGTGCATTTTTTTTGTCCACATCTAAAATAAAAATTCATCAATTATGCTATTTGGCCATGAACCATTTTTTTTTTTTTGCATATTTTTAATTAATCTAAATTTGTTTTTTGTTATTTCTTTAAAAGAATCATTTTAAATTATGACGAATCATTAACTTGAAAAAATAAACAGTATCTGAATTAATTAGGGAGAATTAAGTGGTAAAAAAACCAAGTTTAATTTCAGTCAAAACTGGATGATGTTGATTTATTTATTGAATAGAGAATAAATAAATAAATAAATGAATTTCTTGATCCAGCTTGAGTCTCACTTCGACGATGTCCCCTCTCCGTTCTTGTTCTGCACACCCAGCCTTCTCAGCCTCTTCAGAGCTCTTGAATCCACAGTTGAGGATGTTCATCTGCTTCAGGAGCCGCGCGGTCTCTTGCAAGGTCTCTTGTTGGTGCGAGGGCACTGCCTCTCTTCCTCTTCTCTGCTCTTAAATCCCTCTCCAAGTCTCCAAACTAAGCTGTTCATTCGGACGCTCGGAATCGCCGACCCGCTCGCTGCCAATTGGACTGTCGTCCTGCGTCTCGTCCTGCGTGCCGCACGCTGAGGCGCTTGCCACAAAGCTCTTGTCTGTATCCTCGGCGGCCAGATCTTCAGTTGGCGTGGTGGTCACTAGCAGCCTTGTGGCGTTGCTGAGCCGGACGCTCACGGTCTTGGGCTCAACACGGAGGATTTCCAGCTGGGCAACGCGGCCGTCTGTCATTCTCAACTCAATAACCTCGCCCACAGATGCAGCGAGCAGATCTTGCAGCTTGTTTTTGACCTCGCATTTTTCGGCTTGATTGAATGCGTCGGTCGTCCCAAAGGTGAGACGGACGAGGCGATCGGCAGGTGAATAACTTGGAGTTTGACCCTTCGTGTTGGCATCGGCAATGGCGAGTTTCCCGCAAACCCTCGGCGGAAGGACGAAGGACGACGCTCTTGGTGACAGCTCGGGAGAATCTGTCAAGGCCGGTGATGACGGATTGGCCGTTGAGTTCGTCGGTGATTTCAAACGGACTCGATCCCGAGCTTCTTCATCTCGGCGAGCACGTAGGGTTGCAATTCGAAGCCGTGGACCACGTTGAGGCCTTGCATGGCACTTTCAAACCATCCCATTTCCATGAAGATCGGATTTTTGTCCAGGAATTCGGCTTTCAAAAGTTTACCCCTCGGAGGTGCCATCTCTGAATTTTGCTTCAACAACAAGAATTTAACGTTTAAATCTAGCAACAATAGAAAAAGGCGAATGAAAATTTCCGTTACGCAACAATCGCATTAGATTCGATTATTTAGAGATTCTTTTTACTCAAAAAAACACAAACGGTAAAGTTATACTAGGGTTTGTGTTTTTTTGTAAGCAATGCAAGTTAAATTGAAAGTTAAATATTATGCTATACCATAATTATGCTTAGCGTGTTTATTTTGTAAAATTTTTATTTTTTCACAATCGCATAATATTATATTTTTATCGATCTAATTAATTATTTGGAAGAACATTATATAACCAACAAAAGTAGTGCAATTTTTTTGTCAACATGTAAAAAAGTAAGTAAATTACGCTATTTGGCAAAAGTTTATTTTTTAATTATTTCAATTTATTTGCCATTATTAATAGCAAAATATTAAATAATTATAAATTATCTAAATTATTTAAGGATCTATAAGTGCAGGTCATAAAATTGAATTAATGATGTGAGGCAAAAGTTTTCCTCGATTTATAAAAAATACTGTTTTAAAACAAAAAAATCCAATAATAATTCGCTCCATTAAAAAAAAGGGAGGCCTGGGAGGCTAACAGGTTGCCTACATCGCCCGGCAGTGGGCGCTCTTAATGTGTTGATGTTTTGCCAGCTGGCCGCCGTGGCCGGTGCGACTTTTACTCCAAACAGAAACATTCTGACCAATTTTTTTCGCTTCTCTTACATTTTTAAAAATACGGACAGTATTTATCTTTAAACCATGGGTGCTCGTTGGAAATTTATTTAAATATATTAGCATAAAATTAAGCGGTGGAATGGGCGACACCGTAGATTACATGCTGGACGACGAGCACCAGCAACCCCTTCTGGTTCCTATACTTTTATGCCGTTGTTTATTAACAATCAACTCATTTTGAAAATTTCTTTAAAGGTCAACCAGTCGGAGGACGACGAGGAAGAGATTGAGGTGTCGAGCATCGACAGACGACGACGAACAATGGATTCAACCATCGGTACTGATCCGAGAGACCTGGAGGGCTTCACCTTCTTCTACTGGCTCGCCCAGGGCCTAGGTGTTCTCTTGGTGGTGCTCGTCGGCATTTGGACAACCCATTATCGTGGCGGCTTTGCATGGAGCTCTGACCCCAAGCTTGAGTTCAACTGGCACCCCATGCTTATGACCATTGGCATGATCTTCATGTACGCTAATGGTATGAGGAGGAGTGACAAATTATCTTTTTGTTTGCTCTTTAATCAAATTTAATACTTTTGTTATCAATTCTTCAAACATTGGAAGACTCAAAAGCAGAGCAGCACTGCTTGTTATGCATTTTTATCTGTAAATATTTATTTAAGCTCTTATATAACATTTTTTATATAATTTTTTTGGAAATACTTATTTTATTTCCTACATAAATTATAATTTTTATTTGTAGGAATGATGCTGTTCCGATACATGCGTTACCATCGCAAGCGCCAACTGAAAGTTTTTCATGCCACCTGCCACACACTGACCTTCCTGGTGACCGTGATTGCCCTGTGTGCCGCTTTTGATTCGCACAACCTTGCCATCCCACCGATTCCCAATCTCTACACATTACACAGCTGGATTGGTCTCACAGCAGTCATCCTCTTTTGCTGCCAGGTTTGATTTTGTTTTTTAAACTCAGAAGGTATTTTAATTTACATTTTAAATCTTCTTCAGTTTGTCGTCGGATTCTCGACGTTCCTCTTCCCGGGTGCCAAGCAGTCCCTCCGAGCGGCTCTGATGCCTGTGCACCGGTACTTTGGAATGCTGGGCTTTGTCCTCTCCATCGCCGCAGCCCTGATGGGCCTTCTCGAAAAGGCCATTTTTACATCAGTGTAAGTTTTGCATTTAGTAGAAATTCTCACAAAATTTCAATAACTTTTTGCACAGGCCTGCCTACCAAAGAATGGAAGGAGAAGGACTGCTGATGAACTTCATAGGCGTGGTGCTGGTAATCTTTGCCGCCGTTGTGATCTACGTCGTCTCCAATTTTGGCTACCGTCGCATACCGATGTCTGAAGATGAAACCCTCCTGACAACCGAGTCCCAAATGGGATAAAATGTTTAAAATCACCTCGATGTCTCCTCTCATATCATAGAGCAACAAAAATCACAGCGTTATTAAATTTTGATATGTTAATTTACTCCGTCACGGTTGTGTTCCAGCTGCTATTATTGTGATCAAAAAAATTATGTCTTAAGATGAGTTATCTTGTACTGTTTTGTGTGTTTATTGTACTTATATAGCAACAGGAAAGAGTTGATTGCAAAATTTGATTATCCAGGGAAATGAATGAGTGGTAAATTCAAATTAGTGCATCAAGTGTATGCACGAATCAGACATGAAACTGACAAAAAAAGACTGTGGCAGGTCTATTATTTTTGCCTGTACCTCGACATATTTTTGTGGGAGAATTTATAAACGTGTTTTCATTCCAATCAAATTAAAAGAGAAATGAAAACGCGTGCTTAATAGAAAATATACTACTGTGTCTATTGCTGAAAATTAACCATCAGTGCTTTTGCAGCATTCCTCTCTCATTTTGTTCAATTTCCCCCTCCGTTATTATGTAATGTGTCAGTACAAGAGCGCGTCATCAGCACTGATGAGTTTTCAGGGTGTATTGTTTAACAATACAATGAAAATTATATATCGCATAAAATGTTAATTATGATAATCTATATATATATTAAAGTTATGTCTGCAGCACAAAAAATCCGTCTTTCTATGAAATTTTTATTATTATTGAAAAATAAAATGAAAAAGCACAAAGCTAGCAGCAGAAGAGAACTTGGTCAACAGGAACTTTGAATCCTCTCGAGAATCTGTTGAAGGGGGTAACAGGATTTGTGAATCTACGGACGGCCTCTCTGACGTCGTGAGGGGTCAGAGGCTGGACGAACTCCACTTTGCCGGAAGGAGCGTCATATCTGGGATCCTGTCGATAAAAATTTAGAAATGAACACTAATGATTATTATTATTTTTTCCAATTCTTACATGAGGTTTGAAGATGGTCATTGGAACGTAAAGTGAGGGTGGCAGAAGTCTGTTCATAGGATTTGTGATGGACGCGTTGCAGTCCCGCCTCACTTGCAGAGCAAAGTCCACCAACTGGCACAAGGTCTCGTGGGCAAGGTAGCCGAGCAGCTCCATGTGAATTCCATGACCAAGCGGAAGTTGTGGTTGACTGGTTTTTAACGGAAATTATTAGCATTTAATCAAAGTATACAATTTCATTTAAATTACGATGCATCGCCAAGGAAGTTGCCATCCTTGAAGATCCACTCTCTGAGCTTGAGGGTGTTGTTGTTGTTGCTCTGGGTGAAGGTCACTCCTCTGGCATGTGAAAAGTTGATGTACTCGTCTGCACTCATGGCAATGGACATCTCATCAGCCCGGCGCAATCGCTCCTCCTTGATGTGATCCACGACCAGATCATTGTCCACCCAGGCCATCAACTGGCCAGTGAAGTCCATCGAGAGCAGAAAGTCTTTGCACAGATTGCGTCGCTTGCCTGACGATGCCACCTTCTTCTCCACATTGCCGACGAGATCAGTGTATATGCTGCTTTTGGTGTCACTGAAGCCTATTCGAACAAACAAATTATAGGAGAGAAAATGCAATTTGTAACAAACGACTTACACAAAAACTTGATGGCTCTGCGCAGCTTGTAGCGATCCTTTCGCATCAGAAAGAGCATGTCCTCTGGTCGGATGTACTTGGCTTCTCTCAATTCTGCAACTTCCTGGGCCTTCTGCAGCAGAAGCACCATCTGCTTGTGCACAACCTCCTCGATCAAATGGGCCGTTTCAAGCAATGGGCTGCGACTGTCCCCACTCGCGTACATCATCCTCTGGATTTCTGCAATACAAAAATTATAAGCTTACACTAAAGTTATAATCGTAGAATGTACCAGTTTCAAAATAGAAGGCCTTTCCCTCTGCTTGGATCATTTTGCTTATATTAAAGATGAGAAGGAAACAAATGTACAAATGAAGTGTGAGAGGATGCGGTCTAGTTAGTAGGCCTGTGGCTTGCTCTGCGTGGGCAGGATGCCGAAGCGTTTCTTGATCAAAATCCTCTGTTCAGAATACTTGTCTTCAGGGGTGAAACGAGCTGCGAAAATGAAACTTGTGACTTTGTATGCGTGTTAATGAACAAATTTACCAGGATGGGCTGAGAAGGTGGGAGTCACTTCACCACTAATGGTCACAGTTTGCTGAAAATCAAATTGAAAACATGAAAAAATGGAATGCTCTGACAACACATGCGTGATTTTAAAAATTGAAAACAGAATCTAATCGAAAACGAAGATATACATACGTTGAGCGTGTAGACGCGTTCGCCCTTCTCGTTCAGGTAGTATCTCAGAAGCATCTTCAATCAAAGAAAGTCAGGTCGAAATTCTGTAAAATCGCCGAGCAGCCGATGATTTCCAACTTCCAACACGTGCGGCTTTTTTTAGGCAAAAGGGCACCAAACACCCGTAGTACGCACGCAGGCGCAGGTCGTAAAACCAACGCTACCAACCCAACAAGAAACCAACCATTCATTACAGCACCATTTGACGTTGACCTTGAATATAAGAATAACATTACAAGGTCATGCAATCTGATCGCTATAATGAGATCCCGGAGCCACGCCCCCTTTGCGCGCCATCTGGCAACTCTGCCGCTCGACTCATCATTATTTTTCGATCTTCATTTGGGTGACACAAATTTTAGTCCGCGAGCCATCAAATTCGGAGAGCTGTGATGGGCAACTTGTGCTCGTGCTGCAAAAAGCAGGTATGATTTGGGCCGAATTCGGCTCGGGCAACCTTCCATCTCGCACGTTAACCTCTTTTCCGAGCTATTCGTCGGGCAAATCGGGCCGCGACCCGACGCGAACGACTTGCAATTAAGTGGCGGGCCCAACTACTCCGCCCTGTTGCATTCCCGATACGTTTGTCGAGAATTCTGGCGCGCCGCCAAACCACCGGCCGCATTTTTGAGCCTTGGACTTGTTAAAATCACAGAGTGGAACGCGATCGGCCTCCGGTTCGACGCTGGAAGCCGAATTCCGAGGCGAAAAGGGTGCGACCGCCCTGCGCTTTTGTCTCTTTGTTAGTCGCGGGGGCGGGTCTGAGAGTTCAGGGGTCGCGAACTGACCCTTTCCGAGCCTCTGAAATAATTTGACCCAGCTATGTCACGAAAAGACGAGAAATTATCAAATTGTGTCTTTTATAAATAAATTCATAAAAATCCAAAAAGTGATACAAAAATAGGTGCAGTCTGCTGTGATTGCGTTACTTGGTAACAGTACTCATAGTCCGAGTGTTGAAACGTCAAGTTGTGGTTTTAAAACGGTTAGTTTATGCGGTTTGGCAAGGCGATAACCAATTTGGAACGAATTTTTTTAGGCTTGGGTCGTGCAAAGACTAACGAAGCGCGAATTCTTTCCTCGAAAGCAATTCTAGATGTCTTTAATTAAAATTAAAATTTAATTGTTTGCAACTTATGTTAATTAATTAAAATTTTCCTGAATAATTTCAGAACACATTCAATTTGAAATCATGGATTTTTTCAAATCCACATCTTCAGTGTTAATTCCAAGTGCCGAATTAGAAATCAGGTTAGATAAGAAGTTTGTTTCATTCTTGAAAATGCCATGAATAATTTTTTATGAATTGAGACTTTTTAATTTGAAAGTTAATTAAGACCACTTTGACAAACTCATTTCAATGTCGTTAATTTTTTACTTTGAAAGGTTGAGGTTTTTTTCAATAACAATGAACTTAATCATATTCAGGGCGTTATCCTTTGATATTATTTGAGTTAAATTAGTGTAATTATTGAATAAATTTCTTGAGTCACGGAAATTTATTATGAGATTTTAAGAATATTTCTAATCGCAATATAAATTCTTTGCTTTTGAAGACTCTGACTATCTCATTCAGTTAGTTCTTTAATTTTTTCCATTAAATTGTTATATAAAATATTAATACATTTTTAATTGCAAAATAATATTTTATTGTGTTTTAAATTTTAGTTTTAATTATTTATGATTCTATTCTAACGATGGTCAAAGAAGCAATTAAATTCTTTAATTTTTTTAAACACCCGACCAATTTAGTTTGCAATGTGTCTTTTGATTAACTTTCTGTTATTATTTGGCGGTCACGTCCAATTAAAGTCAAATGGAGCAAAGCCAGTGACAATCGCGATGGTCTGACAATCTTTCCATCAACATCTGCCGCGAATTAGATCCACCCGCCGCTCCACCCGACGTGTGCATATTGCAGAGAGTGTCATGTCTCTATTTATAGCCGTAAATGCTCGGGATGGAAAGCGAAAGAGCCTTGAACCGCGGCTGATCCTCTTGCTCGCTCGCGGTATCTCTTTCTCGCGGCTATTTCTGTTTGGCCTGCTAAATCAACAGCCGCCGTCAATATTTGTGTCTCGATTCCAAAGTCGCTTGAAACAAATCGCTGCACCCCGCGGCTCTTGTTTTTGCAGCGCTTCGTTTGCGTATTTTTTTAGCGCTCCCGTGCAAATCGTGCGCGACGGGTGACATTCAATACGCGCCCTCATTCCTCTCCGCCTCGTTTTCTGCCTCTCTGCCTCCGATCTCACGCGCCCAGGTGGAAAATTGTTCCCCTTTAGCCATTCAAATCTTTTATTCAAATTCAACGAATCCCTCTAATTTATTGAAGAGAATTGTTTAGTACAAGCATAGAAAAAAATTAAGAGTCGTTGGAATTGTGCTTTAAAATAATAAGATTATCATTGTCGATCACAGTAAAATTTATGCTAATTTATTCTTGTTGGAAAATTTTCAAATAGTTAATTTTGGAAGAAAAAAATTTTAAAACTTTTTAGAGGATAATTTTTTTGAAAATAGGAAAATCCTATTGTTTTGCACAGTTTTGCTAAATTTAAAATTTCCATTTAAAAGTTAAAATTTTTATATTTAAAATATCCAAGCATTGTTTTTTTACTCAATTTCTGAATCCACGTTAACTCTCTTTTGAAAATTAAAACAGAAACTGGAATCCACTTTTAAAAATGCAATCGAGACACAATTCTACACAGAAAATTAACAAAATTTTAATTCTCTCTATTGTCACAAAATTCCAACGTTCCTCAAAGCTCTTCTCGTTGCCGCGATCAATCTATCTTGGTACTTCAACGCAGAGGTGTCCGCGGTCTGGTTTGCCGGTTGCACTTGGCAGTCGGGCTTGAGTTTTCGCACGCAGTAGTGCTGCAATTGCGCTTCGTGCAGTCCAAACTCGTAATATTCGCCCCAGTCGACCGCAGACCCAGACTCAGCCAAATAGGATCTGCTGTAGTGGTTGTGCAGCGCGAAGACCGTTTCCGTCGAGTGGAACGACTTGACGTAGTAGCCAGGTGGCGACGGGTCCACCCTGCGCACCACGTTCTGCAAAATGTGCATGTAGGGAGGAATGTCCGGAGAGGGCGACCATCGAGTTTCGCTTGAAATGTCCATGAAATAAACGTTGCGCGCCACAAAGTTGGAGTACGTGACATTCTTGATTGCCTTTGCTTTTGGAATCGCCATTTTAAATATCAGGTCGTGCCAGGTGTCCACACCGTTCAAAGGTATAATCACCTGTGGAACGAAATTTTTGTTCATCAAATTCTCACAGGGACCTCATTAAAGCGATGAAAATGATATTTTGATGATAATTGAGTTTTTGAAATTAAATTTTTTTTTTATAAAATAGGTACCTCGTCCACGTCAATCAAAACAATGTAGCGGAAAGAGTTGTAGTATTTGTAAAAGCAGTCATTGTAATCGATCAAATCCTGGATCCACTGGTACATTCCGTTTTCGCCCATTAATTGGTTCATCAATTCAGGCACATTTGGGTAGTTTCCTGGCATCGTCATCGATACAACGTCCACGTTCCTTGTTTTTGAATAATATTCCAAAACCTTTGAGATATTTGGGTGCACCTATAAATTTAAACTTATTTTAATACAAATTTTCTGACGCATTAAAATTTTTTTATACCTGCAGTTGATAGAAAATTATTCTGTTTGCGCCCAAAATCCTCAGCAACTCGATCCACTCCACCAATCTGACGGCCATTTGGGGATGGTTATTGAAGTTCAAGCTCTTCACGCACACCGCGAAATCTTGCTTTTCTCCCTGCAGACGGTTGTCGATGACTCGTAGGTTGTTCGTTGCATTTTCGCACGGCTCTTGCACTATCGACACCGAGTCCGGCACCGTCCCAAATTTAGTGGGCACCATGCAGCTGAGGAGGTAGGGCCGCAGTGGAATGTGCAGGTAGCCCCACTCGGCCTTCAGCAGGTATTGAAAGTGGAAAACCTGTCCAATTTTTACACTTGAATATTTTTCAAAATTTATTTGGTAGAAAAATTAAAAATTTACCCTGACAATAATGGGTCTGGTGATGTTGGCGAACCAAAGCTGGCAGTAAACCTGTCTGGAAATGTTGAGGCCAACTTTGTCGATTATGGTCAGCACTCGAACCATCGGCGCAAACTTATTGGGCCAGGTGCGGTTGTCGTAATAGGCGCCGTACAGATAATAAGTCTCATTCTCCGAGGCTTGAACTTGCCAGTGAATATTATTGAATCTGATGTCCAATGGCTTGACGTAACGGGCGCAAGAATTGTTAAACTGAGGAACGTCTTTTTGCCAGTGGAAGGTCATGGGCAGATTTGGATTGGTGCGCTTGACCTGAAATTTTGAAATTATGCAGAAAAAATTGAATCATTTTTTTTTTAGATTTTTTTTTTTGCTGGAAACAAGAAAATTTCCTACTCACCCCTTCTATAATTAACTGTGGTGTAATATTGAATTGGTCCAATCGCAGTTTCTCTTCAAATATGTTCATGACTAAAATTATTAGGCAGCATTAAAATTTCAATTTCCCAAAGTTATTTTATGGTTGTAATTTTCTTCTTCATTTAGAAAATAATCGTCTTACTTCTAAATTTGATTGTTTGGTTCACATCCAAAAGAACATGGCTAAATAAAATCGTGCAAACCGCAAAACTGATAAACACAACAAACACTCTTTTCAAACGTCTGTTACTCAATTTTGGAAGCATTTGACAAGGCGGTTGCTTGCCTCTTTTAAAAACTTCTAAAGCAAGGACTTTATGTTTTCAGAGTACCTCGGAAGTGACGCTGTCAAAAAGCGTTTTCGTGTTTGCTATCTTTTTTAATTGCTTTCCACGGGCCCGCTTCACTTTGTACAAAATGAAGTGGGGTTTAAATTTTATCCATGAGTGATAGGGCTTTTATTTTTCAGTGCATTAATATGTAAAAAAAAATTTTAATAAAATAAATGTCGAGTTATTAAACTTTAATTTATTAATTAGTTTGAAGAATTGGCACTCGAGGAGCTGATTATGGAAATTAATAGATCAGGCTTTTATTTGGTTGATATTTATTTATTTGTTCAAAAACACAGTTTCGGTCACGGTTTGCGACCCTATTTTACGAGCTAGAAAAAACATAAAAAATTCACAGCAAAATTGAAAAACAAATGAAATAGGGTCGCGGACCGTGACGGAAACTGGTTGAACTGTTTTGATTTGGAATAAAAACAAATTTTTTCGCAATGAGGAAAAGCCTGATCTCTTCATTTTCATTTATTATTAATTTTAATGTTAAAAAAAATTAATAATTGTTTCTAATGTTTCTATCTGGTTTCAGGGCAAAGACCCGCCCAAGGATGGCAAAGGTGATGAAAAGGACGCCTCGGAAAAGAAGTCCGACGGCATGGAGATCCCGAGCATAGCGGACCAGGAGCTGCAGTACATTGACGAGGATCCAGGCGAGACCAAAAAGCAGCCAGAGGTATTGCATGAGTAAATCTAGGAATAATTTGTAATTTTAACGATCCACCGTCTCGCTCTCTTTCTTTCTAACGTGGTAGTAAATGCACCGAGCAGGTCCGCAGCAGCAGAAGCAACACCCCTGATGCCACCACACTCTCCTCCATGTGTAATTACTTTACGGACTGCACGCCTGCCACTGCTGTGAAGAAAGCATTCAACGTCGACGAGCGCATGCCAAAATTTGTGTCGCCCGGTGCTTGGGACTCGAGGTGACTTTGCATTGCCAACAACTGGACGACTGAGGCAGCACACAATTTTTAGAGAACTGATCAAACTTGACGCAGCCCCGCAGCACTCTTTCATAATGTTTCATCTGTCGCCTCATTAGTGACGGGAAAAGTGCCCTCTTCTTCGCCTCAAATTCTTGTAACATGGTGCTCTTGCCAATATTCTCACGGTACAAAAAAAGGTGCATTTTGAAGAAGACCGAGGCGCATTTCCCGCCACCCTCATCACAATAACTCATCTTTTCGTTCACCTGCTTTTACCTGTTTGTGGAACAAAAGCCGTCGTGTCTGGTTCATTGCTAAATTTTGAAACAAATCACCGGATCAAGCACGCAGCTATATGCATGTACCAAGCTAATTGTCCTATATTTTACAACAACTATGTATAATATGTACAACTACTATTATGATTTTATCTGTCAGTGTTTTAATACTCTTCGTCTCGCCTCAAGACTAACTGCATTTATTTTTTGAAAAATTACATCTGCATACAAGCAATAAGATTATCAGCGCTAATTGCTTTTTATTAATGAATGGAACGAATTGACGACCACTGTTAGAGCACACACTTGATGAAATTACTGTTCAACAGGAGATACAATATACATGTGGTTCAGAATGGAAAATAATCCTATTTGCCAAGCACCTGCCTTGAATTTTAGCAGCGGATAGAAAAATAAAATAGGCTGCTTGCCTTTGGAAATTATTAAAATTTGGCATAATACGAGTGCTGTTAAAAAAAATCAATTGATACGATATTATTAAAATAAAATGAACTTTGTGAGACCTTTAAATACTGTTCTCATCTCGTTTGCTTGGAGAATCTTATAAGTTATTGAGATATTGATGTTTACCACTAATAAATCCTAGGTAAGAAAAATGCCACTTTATTATTTTTTCCTCGCCAATTTATTATCCTTAGCTTACATGATTTTTTCGTTTTTCCTACCTACTCAGAGTTTGCAGCAATTTCAGAATAAAACTTCCCAGTTCCTCATCCTGCAATTAAAAATCTTATTGAGATTAAGTTGAAAACAATCAGATTTAAATCTGACCTCATTTGTCCAAGAAACAAGAATGTTTTTCTTGTCATTCTCGGAACTGTCGACATTCACAATTACTGACTCTACAGATACTGCGCCATCGGTAAGCTGCACATTCCAATCTTCCAACCGACTAAAGGAAGCAATTGTAAAAAATTATTACACTGCAAACTTTGTTTTACCTCTTGATCATTTGGTGGAGTTTCTCTGCAGTTTTATTTGACGGTCCTGCGTCATCGACTGTGATAGTGGAAGAAAATCTGAGCACATGTCGAGCGATGCCTGCTTCTCTGCATGCCTGTTCTACGTCCATTAGACACATGGAGTGGGCCTGCAAAATAACAATACACTTTATTTCAGCTCTGATATCAAACTCGAGTGATGTACATTGTCCTTCATGACGAGAACTCCATGCAAGATACGCTGCTTCTTAGGGTCAGGTGGCTGTCCATTGTACGTTTTGGCTTCCGATTTCAAGAGGGGGAGGGAAACGTCCACCGAGATTGAGGGAATTGTGGAAATTGTGCTTGTTTCTCCATTTGCTGGTGTGTAGCAATTGACGCCAAATTCCTGACGAAAAAAAAACAATATTTTGTTCCATAATTTGGTTGAAATCAAAATGATCTTTGCACCTGTTCAATTTTGTCCTTTAAAAAGGTCATTTTGCCGCCTTCCCCGTGAACCAGCATCACATTCTTAGGCTCACAGTACTGAATCAACTGCATAATGCCCTTCGCATCAGCGTGCGCTGAGAATGACATGTACTGAAATACATAATGTAGAAATAAAAATTTACATTTTTTAAATCAAGCCTTTTTGTTACCTCTACGGACATTTTTACTTCAACAAACTGCCTGTTTTCGAATTCAACTCTTTTGGCTCCATTCAAAATTTTATGTCCAACTGTTCCAGCTACACAGTAACCAGGCATGATCACCTAAAAAATGACAAGTTGATAATGTATCAAACAAGTTGAAAAAATATGTACCATGTTGTTTTCATTTGGTGCCCACTTTTTGAAGATGGCCAGAGAGAGGCCGGCGTGCAACATTCCAGGCGTGGCAAACACTACCATGGGCCCTGGATTGTCGATGTAGGACTTGTCAAACGGTTTTATGTGCTTGAAGTCGAACATGTTACGCTGCACAAAGGTCTTTCTGATCTTCTGATTTGTCCATGTGATGAACATTTTGTAGTAATTGTTCGCCTTCTCTGTCAGACCAAGAGCAAAGTAGATCGGAGACTTGAGATTCATTCTTTCCCAGTAGGTTTCGAGAAGAATGCAAAGTTCTTGCGCTCGTCCAAGAGCAAAAACTGGAATCAGAACTTTGCCGCCTCGTTCAACACACTCATGCACCTTTTTGAGGAAATCTCTTTCTCTGAAAAGAAAATAATTGTGTTATTGTTTTAATAAAAAATAGTTAAAAATTAGCAAGAAATTTAAAAAATGGGTTCAAAGCAAATAATTAAATATTTCAAGAATATAAATAATGACCTGCATCTTTTTGAGTCTCGAATGGTGGTGGCATAGGTAGATTCTGTGATAAGCAGATCAGGTCTGCACTTGTCGATCCACGCAGCACCCAAATGCCTGTCTGGAGTCATGTTGTAGTCACCCTGGTTTGGAATTATAAAAAATTACAGAGAAAAAATATTAGAATAAATAATTTTACTGTGTAGACGACCGACTGAGATCCAACGGTGACCCTGAACATGCCAGCGCCGAGGACGTGGCCTGCATAGTAGGCCTTAATCTCAAGGTCTTTGTCCACCATGACGCTCTGGTGCAAAGTCACAGCAGTGACTTTCTTCATGCAGTCTTTGATGTTTTGCGAGGTGAAAAAGTTGCTTTCGCCTTTCCGTTCGACTGCAACTTTCCTCATATCCTCCTTCAAGTGAAAATAAATTTTAGTCTGCTTGTTTTAATAGAAGAAATTTACCAAAAGAATGGGACAGATGGCCTTGGTTGGATGTGTCATGTAAATTGGTCCAGAGTAGCCAAACATTTCTGTTAGGAAGGGCAGAGCACCACAGTGGTCCAGGTGGAAGTGTGAGATGATGACGCAGTCGAGGTGATTGTCAAGAGGCCCTTCAGGCGCCAGGTAAGTGAAATCAGGGAATCGGCGCTGGAAAAAAGAGGTTTCTTTAAAACATGATTTGAAAATTTTTATTCATACTTCATCGTTAAAGCCCATGTGCATGCCACAGTCAAGCATTACGTTTTTCCCTCCGATCGAGAGCAAAATGCAGCTTCTACCCACATCTTGCCCGGCACCTGAAGACAAAATTCCGTTGAAAATGTAACATTTTTTTAAATTGTAGAATAAGTCTTAAGTTACCAAGCGGCGTGACTTTGATGTCAGGCATTTTTTCCTCCGATTAGCGATTAACACTGGTGTGTCTGGTGTGTGCGCATGCAACTCGTAAAAAACTAAACATAAATGGACCTAACTGTGTTTAAATTTGCAACTTTAAACACACTTATTTTTGAAAATATAAAATTTTAGCCGTCTGTCTGAACTCTCTGAAGCAACAAGCTCTGAAGCCTGGCCGTGTTTATTTTCAAATTTCAATGCTGCTCAGCCACCAAAACAACAAAAAGTGGTTCACCACGCCCACTTCTCGGCCAACGCGATGATCGTATTTATTTTTTAAATATTTTTAGCGCCAAAGCAACGTGATCAGTGTCAAACACGCACCGTCGCCGTATTTTATTAAGGAAATAATTATGTAAAAAGAAATATTATAAAAATGATAATAGGCATTTTGCACGAATTTTGATGTTTCTTAATTGTCAACCTACAAAATGGAAACAATCTATTTTCTACTATTTTCAGCATTATTTCAAAATCTTCGAACTTATTGAAATTTTTTACTTAAATATCATGATAATTATGTCTGCGTCTACATCTGATTTATTGATTTCATTTTCAAAATTTAAAATGAGAAAAAATATAGATGAGCATCTTATAATTTATGGCATGGTTTAATTTTAAATTTTTGATGCCAAGTTATAGAGGATAAGGTTAATTAGATTAGAATAATATATTATGCCAAATCAGCCAAAACCAAATGCAAAGAAGTTGCAGATTCCGTTCTGGGGCTGATGCCATAATCGATTAAATAACATTAATTTAAACAGAAATGTTTAATATGGAAATTGCACATTTTATGGGCTCTAGCAATATAGGATCATCAAACATATTAAACTCATTGGTTTTTTTTAAGCAAAATTTATGCTTTTAAAGTTTTTTATTCTCTTTCCAACATCTTATAAATTTACAGAACACAGAAAGAATCAATGCACATACACACCCACTTCCAGTTAATTTTGGTTAATTTTAAAATATAATGTCATTAAAGAGCGCTTATCTACACACATCTACTGTTAAATAAAAAATAACAGAATTTACAGATTATGTATGAGCTGCAAAAAGGAAAACACACCAGTTCAATAACTGCAGTATGATGAGAAACTTTTCTCACGTTAATATTACTCGCTATCTCTTTACAAGAAACTTTGCTAAATTGTACTGAGGGCAGCATTAAAGATCAAAGATCGGCAATGCGTTAAAAAATAATCTTTGGGGTTATGGGAGATTCAGACCATATTCTCATTTAAATCAAGCTTAAGTTGCTTACATAGCACATAAATTATTAATTAGTGCAAATAAAGATAAGCCAATGGAAACATATAAGGGCATATTTAACTTAAATTAGCACATTCTAGTGCTCACTAGTTTTCAAGTATCAATTCAAGTCAATGTACTTGAACACATATCATCATAAGTAGAAGTTTAGCTTTGGAGAACACAAATTTATCCTACACTATTTCACCCAGTTAAAAAAGTCACTAGTGATAAATTGAAAGTGCCTGATGTTTTGTCTTCCCACTTCCCACTCTTTTGGTGCAAGTCATCTTACCCTTGCAAGCTGGAGAGTACTTAAAAGTGTAAACTGTATCTTTAGGTGTATTTACTTTAATTTAACTGAAATAAGGCAAAATAATTTAACTATCAAGAAAAGGAAAACTCAAGTCTAATCGATGATAATGTCCCCATTGACCTGGTTGTTGACACCCTTTGCAATAGTTAGGGATTTCCTAATAGGATATGAGTGTTCAAGCGTGGCAAAGGCATCCCTTCCTTGGAAGTCAAAGGGAATCTTATCCCCAATACTTATGTAGACGAGGCTGGCCAGGCGCTCCTTCAGCAATTGAAGCAAGTAATCTTCGCGGGGGAAATTACTGCTGAAAAACAAGTTCACTGCCTCCTTCGGCTTCGAAGGCAGAAGAAAGACATCCGCCTGAGCGTCTGGCAGGACATCCAGGCTCTCGAAGAACCAATCGGGGACCAGCAGAGTGTCCTCTGGAGCCTGGTCTGTCATGTATCCACCCATGCCTGCGACAATCATTTTGCCATTGATCTTAATCTTGAGCGCGATGGAGTTGGCTTCATCTTCCAAGTCCAGTCTTTCCATCAGCTGCTCGAGTGGACCTTGAAGATCTCGGGAAAGGACTACCTTTCCGCCGAAGACGAGCGAGTCGAAATCTGCAGAAGTCTGAATTTCCGCCTTCGACGACATCTTGATGAGTTTCAGGTTTCTTCTAAGGAGGGTTTTCGGGATGGCCATGATTTCTGTAACATTAAAAAATGTGTGTTATATTTAAAACAAGATTTTTGTGAAGTATAATTCGTATCGTTTTTTTTTATTAAACTATGGCTTTGAGTTAAAACAAGAACCATATCACCGAGAAAAAAGACCTGCAGGACTCGCAAGCATTTCATGTTAGACCGACTGGTCTCACATACTTGTGATTAAAAACCTGCACGCCTCCTTTAGTTAAATGTCGCTTGAAAATTTTAAAATACACGACTGTTATGCTTTGGTCGACAATGATCGAAAACCTGGTTAAAATTAGAGGAAAATATTCGTCGTTTTTGAAAATTTTCATGGCAATTAAACCAATTTTGTTATTAATAGACGTGCTGGTCTCATATTAGACTTTAAAAAGGCCAAAACGACCCCATTGCGCGTGATATCACACCAGGAGGACTAATATTCGCGTGATATTAATCCAGCCGGTCTATAATCAGTTTGATAAAAGACCAGCAGGACTCATATCACAGAGAAAAAAGACCTGCAGGACTCGCAAGCATTTCATGTTAGACCGAGTGGTCTCACATACTTGCGATTAAAAACCTTCACGTATCCTTTGGTAAAATGTCGCTTGAAATTTTTAAAATACACGACTGTTATGCTTTGGTCGACAATGATCGAAAACCTGGTAAAAATTAGAGGAAAAAGTCGTCATTTTTGAAAATTTTCATGGCAATTAAACCAATTTTGTTATTAATAGACGTGCTGGTCTCATATTAGACTTTAAAAAGGCCAAAACGACCCCATTGCGCGTGATATCACACCAGGAGGACTAATATTCGCGTGATATTAATCCAGCCGGTCTATAATGAGTTTGATAAAAGACTAGCAGGACTCCTTAGATATGGCACTGTGGTGCGCGTTAGAGCAGGTTTAATTAGTATTAATTATTTATTATTAAATGTGCATAGCGCCGGCGCGACTAGTAGAAGGCGCCGGATTCAAAACTAAGAGCTCGCGCAGTGACGACTGCAGCGCTCTGTTCTGTATCAATGGTGTTGAAATAAAGTAACACAACGCTCGAGACTTTTAAAAGAACCAGACGTGTTATATTTTCTCTCGCACTTCAACCCTCAGTTTATGGCGGACATCGACGCACTACCTTCGGCACTCCTCAACCTCAGGATGGCCGACCTGGCCATCCCCAAAACACCCTGGGTGAGGGCCGGTCCCGGGTCCCGGGAGTGTAAACCCCATCTCGAATGTAGTACTAGAGGACCGCTTTAACGGCCAGAGAGATAAAAATTTTCACGGGATTGATAAATTAAAAATTAACATATTTACAGGGCTATTCAGAACGTAATAAATAATAATATAATAACATAATAATAGATAATATTTGCAGCAGGATTCCCTGTTTGATCGGCACATTTACATTTTAAAATATTTTCCACGTGTACCACTCTATACTAATATAGTAATTAATTATTGTACTGACAGTAATGAACCAAATGTTTTTATGCTTGCACAATCCACTCGTGAGGAAATTTTTAAATTAACAGTTAACGTCAATTGTGTACTGGGAAAAAATATATATGGTTCAGAAAAAAAGAATTAGTTAAGCTTTACCAAATATCTGTACTTGCAAATTGATTTCTGAATAATTTTCTTGTGTTCCTTTCCAATATCATATTTGGACGGCAATAATGGAAAACAATTTGTTACAGTAACTCTTCTCAATTTTGCACGTTTTTCTGAGTGTAAGTTAAGATTTGCGAATGGTTCTTGCATTCTTAAGCTCAAATAAATCCCGAGAAGCATTAATTTTTAAAGTTGAAAGTTGGAACTACAGGTTACGTTTTTTCCGGGAAAGATTTTATTAATTTTTCAAGCTTTATCCACGGCAAAGTCCATAAAATTATATGTACTTTGTGCACCAGAAAATAAGTAGAGAAATCCGCAACCCCTCGCCAACCGACCGACTGCAAGTGCTGTGTGGCTTGAAAGGCATCGAATTACAGAGAATAGTATAATTTGGTTAAAAAAAGTCATGAGTTTTACAAGACTAAATTAAAAAAAATAAGACAGAAATAAATACCAAATTATATACTAAAGCGAAGCAGGAAACTTGGAAACTGATAGTGCATCAAAACTATAGTGAGAATATAATAGAACACGCTTGAGAATGAAAAGTTAAGAATAAATCATTTAGAAAATGAAATGAACGAAACCCATGGCTGCAGCGTAGATCCCTAGATATTGACTTTTGCCTAGCCTACGTGTTGAATGTGTGTAGTTATATTGCACTGAACATCCCCCACCCCCCACCCCCCCGGTTAAGTTTTATATAATTCCATACGCTCACTTTTATTTTTTTTAATTTTTTTCCTTTTTTTAATTAAAAAAAATTATACCAGGTCATTAAAATAAGAAATTTAATTACGACCAAATTTCAAAAAAAAAAAAAAAAAAACTGAAAACAAAAATACTGCGGAAATAATTGAATTACAAATATTAAAAATGTTAATACTGAATATATTTATGAATATTTACAAATGCTACCAAAGATAGTATTTCTAAAGGTGAAAAAGAAAAGTGCTCGGAATTTATAAGTTTGCACATTGAGAAAAAAAATTCAATTAAAAAAATGAAAGATCGATCCGCGCCCAGTGGTAGGCATCTCCTCGCATGGCCGTGCGAAGGCCAAACGCCGGTTGCATAATAGCAGGGGCGCGCCGGCACGTTTTACCTCTCCCGTCCAGCACTATTATTTTCGCATCGAAACACAGTAAACACACCCCGGCGAATATCACGTCACCCCGTCGGCGGGCGCGACCCGGCGGCCCGACCCTTCGGAGGGGGCGCCCTCGCTGACACCCCCGGACTCTTCGTATCGCCGGCGCGCAGCACCGTTCGGCCCGTACGGCCTCGGGACGCGTTTTCTGCGGCCTAACCGGAACGAAATCTGTAAATCCGGTGATTAGGGTCGACGCGCAATTTCACTGCCAACACGCCGATGCCGTCAAACCGAACGGCGCACCCGTAGCGGCGGACGAGTTACGTTTGGCGAGGAGAAGGTGCGGAAAAAAGTGCTAAAACCGGCGGTTTCGGGGCCGCGGCGCCGACCCGGGCCGGCGGGTCGGCGCCGCCGTCTAGGTATTCGTGGGAGGCGCAGTGCCGCGTCATCCGAGGCCCTTCCCGTAAGGTTTCACCGGTCCGATAGGAAGCGGCCAAAAGGCGGCAAACTTAGAGGGGCCGGCGGCGCCGAACGCGGCGCCGCGGGTGGGTTCAGAGGTGACGAAAGTTTGGGGGCCGCGCGAAGAAACCGGGCGATTTCGACATTTTTTTCGATTCGGAACGAACCTATGAATATGTAGTTGATCAGCATCAGCAGGTACGGAAACGGACCAGCTCTTCCTGCGCGAGTGCTCGCCAGGGTCAAGTCAAGACACACGTACGCATCAGATAGTCTGAAAGAATAAACAAAATCAGTCATGGGAATGTTTGCAGGACAGCAGAAACAATTTATTCTTTAATTTCAAACTGCAGAAAAAGTTAAAATTGCATAAGAAAATTTAGAAAACATATGAATCGAACGATCTTATGAAAATTCTTTTGAGTTTCAATTTTCTGGATGGAAAATTAACACCCTAAATCTAAAGCAACATGTATAAAAAATGCATCAAGTTGAATATTGGAAATTAAGGAACAGTTTAAACATAGCTAAAAACAAATTACCTCTTAAAGGACTGACGAAAATGCGATTTGAAATTGTCAACATTATTTTGACAACCAGAATGCTTTGCAGAAACAGAAACCGTGGGGAACAACAAAATGGCGGCCGCCGGCATCAAGTGCCAACCGAACAAATTTCGCAATGACGTCACCCACGGTGAATCAACCAATAGAGACAAACAAAATCGAAAACTACTGCGATTTTCCTTGGCGATTTGGTTTGGTTGATCGCGAGGTGGGCCACAGATTAGATCCGAACAAAATAAATTGAAAAATAATTTCAAATGAATGAAATTTTATAAAATAAAATCTTGAGAATTCTTTGACATGACCGTTTTGATGAAATCAGTGGATTAAATTTTTCTAATTTTCTGTGACGCCTGAGACATAAAAGATAAACAAAGGGTTTACTTCAGGAGAATGGTGCCATTTTTTTTTAAATTAATGCAAAAAGGTCGCCGATTTTGTGTGGGCTGATAGTTGATACCATGACTCAATTGAAATAACATAAAATTTTAAGCAGAAAACAGTTAATTATGGAAATTGCACATTTTATGGGCTCTAGCAAGTTTTTTTTTAGTCAAATGAGAAATTTTTTTTATAGTTTTTATTTTATTTTGATCGTCTTGTACATTTACAGAACACAAAAAGTATCAATGCACATATAAACAAATTTCCAATTAATTATGGTTATTAATTATGTATGTCATTAAAGAGCACGTGCAAGGGAGAGAATGACAGAAATCATTAAAACGAAGCGCAATATCTCTTTATCTACACACATCACTTCTGTTAATTAAATAAAAAATAACAGATTATGTATGAGCTGCGAAAAGGAGAACACACTAGTTTTTATGAGAAAATTTTCTCACTTTAATATTACTTAAAATTGCTACCTCTTTACAGAAACTTTGCTAAATTGTACAGAGCGCAGCATATAAAGATTGGTAATGCGTTAAAAAATAATCTTTGGGGTTATGATTCAGACCATATATTCTAATTTAAATTTTAAATCAAGCTCAAGTTGCTTATATAGCACATACATTATTAATTAGTGAATATAAATATAAGTCAATGGGAACATATAAGAGTATTCAACTTAAATTAGCACACTCTAGTGCTCACTAGTTTTCAAGTATCAATTTCTCAACACATATCATCATAAGTAGAAGTTTAGCTTTGGAGCACACAAATTTTATCCTATACACTATTTCACCCAGTTAAAAAAGTCACTAGTGATGAACTGAAAGTGCCTGACGTTTTGTCTTCCCACTCTTTTGGTGCAAGTCATCTTACCCTTGCAAGCTGGAGAGTACTTAAATGTGTAAACTGTATCTTTAGGTGTATCTTCAGTGATGATCTTCTTGATAGAGTTGAGAAACTTAGATACAGCTTGCAGACACACCTCGATCCTCGGATGCACAACGGTACTATCAGGGTGGCTCTCTTTGAAGAGTTGCTATGGAAATAAAGTTTTATAGTCAAAATAAAAACTTTTAAGGAATTATTGAAAGACATACTTGACAGATTTGGAGAAGTTCTTCTTGTGATAATTCCTCGATCTTCTCAATTTTCTTGCAGTTGTTGCTTCTCACCCCAATAATGGTACTGCTAATATTCCCTGCCAAACACCGAAGTAATTTTGGGAACATGTTCCTCCTGGAAAAAAGTAATAAATACAAAAATAAAACCTGCTAGTTTTCAAAATATAACAAATTTAAGTACTATTTAATTTCTTAACCTACAGTTTATATGGTTTAGTAGCCGTCTTTAGTTCGAACATCTTGTATTTGCTGAACTCTTCTAGTTCTTCCTCTGAACGAATGGCTTTGAATTTGTTTTGCACCAGCAGGACATGATCCCCTACAGTTACTTTGTCCACACTGTATAGCTCAGACTCTCTTCTATTGAAAGGTACATCCAATTTTGGCAGCTCATTCGGTCCATCTATTATAAGAATTAAAAAATTGATAATAATTTTGAATTATGTGCATTATAAAATATAAATAAATAAATCAAATACATACTCGACAGGACATGCTTTAGAAACATAAATCCAGCAGTGCTACTGTTCAAAGGCAAATATGCACCCTTGAACTCTTTTGTCTCTGCTCTTATGCTCTTCTCTTCGTCCGTGTAAAACGTAGAGAGGTAAATCTTCCCCTTCACTTTTACAGCCGAAATGATGAAGCCGAAGCTGTGTTCAAAGTCAAAAGTTTTGTCGTGCAAGTAGGGTATGCTCATGATGTGGTCAAGTTCTAATCTAGAGCACACAAAACCAACTTCGGGGCTGTTGAAAAATATGCAAAAAATTCAATTCGTTTCAATTCAAACAATAAGCCTAAATAGAGTATAAATCTTACTAGGCATGCTCAAAACTTGTTGGTTTTGGGAAATTATCCATGACCCACATGGTGATCTCATTAATATTCTCATTTATGTTGACTGGAAAATTGCGCAAGTCTTCAGGTTGCATGATGTTCAAATCTAGGTTTACATTTGAAGGGTCTTTAGGCAGATGAAGATACTTAGTGGCAACACGATTTCCACAAAAGACACCTTCGCTGAGTCCGAAAAAGTCTTTTCGTTCTAAACTCCACCTCACATTCCTCCCCAGATCTGTAGTTGCTGTCTCAAAGGTAGAAAAAGTGATATCTTTCAACTGGGTTAAGTCTGCTCTTTTATAGTTTTGACAGTCCTTGGGCCCTTTCTTGACTTCAAATCGGGCTTTTCCTTCGTCATCAGAGTCATCCGAGAAATCAGACTTGATATCTGTGGGTCTGCTTGCTCTCCATGTATGCCGGACGTTAACATTCTTCAATTTGTCATTAGGCGTAGATCTCTTCTTTTCATACTTTTTGCACCAAGAGTCAGCAGAAGAGGCCACTGACACTACAGACAGTGCGGGAGAAGTCGATCTTTTGCTGGCTGGCCCTCTACTCCAGAAATTTTCTAGATTTATGTAACAGAAAATTTCCAATTATTATCTTACAATTTCAGGTATATATACATAAAATGAAAAAGTATATGTATAATAAAAATACCTCGAGATTGAAATGTAGTTACTTGTCCTGTCCCTTGCGGTCCGAATCGATTGACTTTCTTATTTATGTCCATGTTATCCTCTAGTTTCATTCCGTTGTTTGATTGTCTACACAATCTGTCCATTCTGTTTTTGTTCAGCAGGTTCGCGTTGCCGAATTTTGGTTGCTGCATATTTTCAGTTGCTGCGAGTTACGAAGCTGCTGAAAATGAAAATACATTAATAATAAAAACTACGCAGACTCAAACACATAACACATGAATGAAAACATGACTGTGTGGACTTGTGAGTGAACATATGCGTAATGGACACAGTGGCCACATAACATGCATTAATATTGGACAAATGTCGAGGACGTTAATTAATTATTACATAAATTATAAGAATTATGTACACATTAGTGAGCCATTTTACCAGAAAATATGTATTCTGCATAAACGGAGAAAGAAGAAAGTGTGCTGCATGCTGTCGAAAATCAGGGGAAGTACCGGAAAGTGAATACATACGATTCTAACGAACGACAAAAAACAAGTTCATGCGTGTCTTAGCAGAAAACCAGCGTGAAAACGCGCGGCAATGGACGGCAAAGGCATCAAATTACGCGCACTAATTTCTACATACTTTAAAAAGCAGCAATAACCTGTTATAAGCACCTGCAATTACTCAATCATTACTAATTAGTAAACTTATATTTGTTAGATGATACATTTTAAAATTTCTAAGAGATGCTAAAATCGTCCAATACTTATTACAAGATTGCACCAAGGTCAGCTAAAATTTGTTACAAAATTTTGTTGCAAAAATGTAGCCCTCGCGCATAGTCGATTTTCCACTGGCGTGCAGTGCTGACCTCTGGTGAGGCTGGCGCGAACCGCCGCCGGCGACAACAAAGAGAGGCAAAGCACACTCGGTGCTCTGGTTCGGCGCCAGCCCGTGCTGCTTGTGTGTGCCTCTCGTCGGCGAATTGGGCCCCGAATTCGGCAGTTTCGCACGTTCGGACAGTTGGAGAATCGACGGTCGGCATCGGGACGTCTGCCGCGTCGACGCGCCGCCGAGTGACAGCGCCCGCGTTTTCGGCGCCGCCGCCACCGTCGACGTCGGTCGGCGGCGACACGTGTGTGACACCTGCCAGTGTGGAGACCCATGTCGGACACTTTTTACCCGTGACGACAGACCCTGGCAGGACGAACTCGAAGCGCAATGGCGAGCAACGAGGCCGCGAGGTGCCGCAGGAAGCAGGCCAAACCGCAGAGGAAAAAAGGTGAATTAATATTTTCTTATGTATTTATTTTTTCACCGACAAAGCAGGAACGGAAACACACTCCTTATCAGTCCGCAGATAAAACATTCTTTTCAAATATATTGTAAAAAAACAATTAAACAATTTATTCCGAAATTTTTTTTTCTCTAAATTAAATTCTTTAAGTTATTCAAATTATTAATATTTAAATAAAAAGAATGTTGCACGTTTTGCGGGAAATTTTGTAATTCACTGTTATTTTTGGCCCGTCGAGCCAATTAGTGACTGTGATTGGTGCTCGAAGATGTTGAGAGCGCGTTTGACGGGTGTCGCGGTCGCGTCCACCCACGCGGAGAACAACTCCGGAGTCGAGCTTTCTTCGGAGCAAAAATTTACAGATGGTTCGAAATGCCGGAAATTAAATTTTTTTAACAGATCTGCAAAAGTAGTCTTAAGTCATAAAAATAATTAAACACACTAAATTGTCATTGAATTTTTTAAGGCAGTGGAAAATATAATTTATTTTTTCAAATAAGTTTTAAATTTTCATTTAAACATGGAGTTGATGACTCTTTTAATATATAAACCTCACGATTTAATCTTCTCAGTTTTCGTCACTCCTCGCGACCTTGCGAGTTTGAAAACAATTTTTAAGTTTTGGCTACCTGCAGACGTAAGCTGTATGAAAATTGTGTTTGCGATTATAAAGCGCTTCCTTGAGCCCGAAAACGTTAAACAAAAACACAGCAATTGCGAATTGTGATTCTAAACTTGACACAATTTACTCTGTGCAAAATGCATCAGCTGTGACAACACAGAAAACGTGTCACCACCTAGAAAGTTTTTAAGAACATCAAATTAAATTTTTATTGCTTTTACTGTAGGGCTATTTTTGATTGGAAAATTATGAAAAATAAATCATTCATTCGACTTTAACAAAACTAAATTTTATAAGGCTGATAAGTATAATTTATTATTTTGTTGGTATATTCGCACTGATTTGCACTGTGCTTAAAATTTTGATCAGGGAAGCGGTTAATTTTATTGAAAATTTTTATTTTTTCTAAAATTATTTATCTCTATGATATTACAATATTATATTGTATAATTAAGTGTTACATCATTTTGAATCCCAAAATAATTGTGATAATAAAAAAAAATCAAAGCATTAATATAGAAAACAGATAGAAAATAAAAATAAAATTTTTTTTTATTAGTTTCTGAAATAAATAAAAGCATAAATGAATTATTGCTGGTCAGAATTTTATAATAACAAATTACAGTTAGAAAACATTTAATTTGTTTTCAAAATCCCAAAAACTGTTATCAAAAAAGCTGATATGATTCCGATGATTCACAAGGAAAAAAGTGGGTCCCGCACCAGCAATCTCCTGTTCATTCGTTTTCTCTGCTCTCTGCATCTGTCTGATGATGTGGCGGCCATGATGTTTGTGGGTGGGTGGGTGGGACGGTCGGGAGGTGGAGATGAGACTAAAAAACAGATAAAAAGATTCCCCCGCGCTCTGCCGCCGGTGTGCCATGGCCCGTTGTATAACTCAATGCTGATGATGATGTATGTACCGCGCACGGCGAACGAGAGGGGCCATCATCGATGTTATATAGGACGAAATAATGCTGGTAAATAAACAGGTGATTTATGTCCGCGGATGCTTTTCTGACCACTTGGCCGCCGAGGAGAGCGGCCGAAAGCTGCTCACCAACAACTTCTACGTCATCATAAGATGACAAGAGCAGAAGTTAGATAAAAATAGGTGTAATTTTGTGAGAAAGGAATAAAATATTTAATATTATCAAATTCTTGAAAATAAATTTCAGATGGCAAATGATAGTGTCAAAAAACAACTTCTTAAATTTCAATAATAACACAATATCTTTATTTTTTTTTCGACATTTCGGACATTTCCAAATTTATGATAAATTAAGAGAAAAATTTATAAATTCTTTTGAATGTAAAAATTGACTCATAATACGATTTCTTTACATAAGAAATTTATAAATTAAATCAAATGCTTTTAGATAAAATTTAAAAGGGTAATCAACTGTTTCAGCTAAAGAAATGTTTATTTTATGCTTTTGGATTTTAATTTAAAATTGTGTCAAATACAGTCGAATATTAAAATTTAATTGTTTTCCATATTTCAATTCATTTTATTACAATTTATTTTATGTTATTATGTTTTATTCAATTTAATTTTATTTAAATTAAATTTTTTTATTTTGCTTTATTTAATTCTAATTTATAAATTTTATAATAAAATATAATTAATTCTTAAATTACTGCACAAAGTTGAAATTAGACTGTAAAATCGCTGAGTAGGTGTCACAAAGGCCGCACTGATTGTGAGTCGTGCAATTAAACCCAAATGAAAATAAATCACCGAACGTACAAAGCGGCAGCGAAACGTCCGTCCAATCGCACACATATTCAAATATACACACGCCTTTTAGTACACAACGCTCGGAGTATAGAGAGTGTCAATTGAGAGCGCGCAAAAGAGAGGATAAAGGGGATGAAAAAAATAGCAGCGGCGAGGGTGATTTATTCGCAATAAATATAAAAGGCCTGATAAATCAACAGAGCCGAAGAATGAAAGAGTACGAAAGTAAAAAAAGAAAGTTTTGTGGAAAATGTGCGAATCGAAAATATTGTTTCACCTGTCGGAAGGAAGTCGGCTCAATAAATACACACTGGCCGGTCGGGTCGTTCGTCGCCAACTTTTCCTCCTGCACTCTCGCCAAACAAAAATATTTTCGCTCCCCCGCGTATGGAAAAAGTTGGACATATTTGGTAGCGAGCACCGGCGGCGCAATATTAGGAAAATCTATCACTTCTTCCTCATATGCTGCGCCGGTGGCGTGTGAGAGAGAAGCGAGCAACCCGCCCGCTTGCGCGATTTATTGCCCCACGTACCTTTAATGGAGAGTAAAAATAGATGGATGTGTGCGAAGAGCATTTCGCTGAATCAGCCGCACAAAGCGACCCTTGTCCGCTTATTGTTGCAAAAGCATCCATCTTCTGCGAAACATTCACTGGAAAAATTCAAAACAAAAATTTGTTCGTGAATTGAAAATGAATCTAAACTTGATTTAAATTAATTTCTTTACTATTTAAAGTATAAAAAATACAATCTTTCAATAGATTTAAATGGAATTAAAAATGAATCTATTTTTTTAATAGCTTTTGATTCTTGTAAAAAAATCTTAATTTTATAAATTCCTTCGCTGCAGGTGTCGCTTTTCGAGCAACTCTCAGCGAGATATTATTTATAGATGCAAATTGCGGCTTTTGTTTTTTTCCCCGGTTGCAAAACAACGCACGATGCGCTTCGCCGCCTGCCTCAAAAGCAAAATATTGAGAGCTGTATGCGCGCACACGGCGGCTCTTCTCGTTAATTGCACCAGCGAAAACATTACACATGCACACACTACGGGCCTTTTCCCTCGATTTATTTCTAGCAAGAGGTGCACCTCAGCAAGACAGAATTGCTTTTCTCTGTGCAAAAGCGTCGACAAACACCGCAGCAATCCAACGTGTGATGACTCGCACCCACGGCGTCAATGAATCATGATTAATTATTATACTGAAATCACTTCTTCGAGTAAAATTTATTAAAATTATTTAATCCTTTTTTATTATTGTTGTTTATTACTCTAAAATGTTAAATCAAATTGTTAACATTTAATTTTTGCACAAAATTTATTTGAAATAAGGTATTTTTGGACAAAACTGCAAGAATTTTGCTGAAACTCCCGCGATCAAAAAGACCTTATCTGCCGCCGTGAGCTTCAAAAAAGAAATTATGATATTTAAGGTTTTTTAACCAAGTTCATAAATTTTAAAGGTTGCCTTGCTTTAAAGTAATTTTGTTGTCAAATAATTTATTTTATCAAAATATTTCCTTTAATTGGTTTTATTTAATGATTTCATTAAAAAAATAAAATAAATTTTATTAATTAAAATATAATTATCAACATATTAAATAATAACAATTTTTTTTTATGCATTTATGCATTCATGGCACTGTAAAAACAAATAAAAACCAGAGACAAGCGAGTTTCCTCTTTACCATTGTGGTCGTTACCACTTCGGCTCTCGGAATTGAAATAATAATAATTCGTGCTCGCGACGAGTGTCATTGTGCCGCGTCGTTCTTTGCTCCTCTATACGGCCGTCGTCGTGTCATTCTCTCTGGCTTGGGTTTTATTTTTAGGATCGCAATCTTCCGTTTTGCGCGCGCTGTTGTTACAAACCGACGACCCATGCTAGTTGTTGCTGCATCAAAAAAAAAAAAAAAGAGCGTCGTCTTTTTTCCTCCGAAATAACTTCCATACATACGCGTGTGTAAAGCGAAATAGGGCGGCAGAAAGGGCACAGAGCCCATAAGAGGATGTGCTGTGTCCGCTTTACATATTAGTCGAGAGAAAGAAAAAGAGATTCGCCGCTTTGGACCGCGGCCAAAGTCAATGCACAGAGGGCATTTTTGCTCACTCATTAAACGGGGGGACGAGCGGCACTAATGCCGCAGTTTCGCCAGAATGTAATTGAAATTTGGACGCCTGTAAAAATAACAACGAAAAATATTATTAATTTTTTTTAGGAAAAAAACTACTTTGTTTACAGATAATTTATGATTTCCATCTCTGATAAATGGATTCAGCTCGAAATCTCTCCGTTCTCATCTCGAGTTTGCGACAACCTTTTGGGTCCAGTCTAGGGAACTGGACCAGGGTGCGAATTGCACAGCTTATTACCCAGCTATTAACTACTTAATAGCTGGTGCCGGGTCATGGAACCAACCTCCGTGGTTCGGCACGTTGAGTGCACGGTGACTAAAGCTTATTCGATTATCGCCTTGAATAAATCTATTAATGCATTACTTATTAAATTAGTTTACACTTTACTCTTTATTTTCAACTGACTGACCCTCACCCTCTATGCCTTCGGCTCACCCTGAAGACCTCCTGTCCAAGGACACAGCCCGCCGGGAGTGTTGTGGTTC